GGCACTGGAGTGATCAGTTTTAGAGGAGGGGTGGCTAAACTTTGGCCCTGCAGTGGTTGTTGGACTCCATCAGTTCCATCAATAATAATGGACATAGTAGTATAACAACATCTGGAGAGCCACGGTTCTCCGTCCTTGACCTAGAGGCAGAACGAATGTTTCAGTCGAAGGAGATATGTTGTAAGAGAAATGTGATCAGGAGGAATTTCCACAAATTTGAAGAAAATGTTGCCACTTCCCCCACTGATTTAAACATTCAGGTATCATATGAAGACATGTAATATTGTTCTGTAAATAACTGTATCACTTTTGCGTCAGGGCTCCAAGATAATGAAATAAGGGTAGGACTTCTACACAAATTATGAAGCCTGCCTTAAAAATGTGTATCAGGGACATTTTAAAGGCAACTTCTTCCCCTTTAAAAAAAGTTAAATAAATGCTGTAAAATATAATACTAATGAGGATGATGTACAACCGTGTTGTGATAAATTTACAAGGTGTTACATGCTCTTCTGATGGAAAATGAAACTCTCTTTTTAGAGTGGTGACTAAGAATTACCAGCACATCCTGGCCTTGCAATTTGCAGTGAAAGAGATCAACGAAAACCCTCAGCTCTTACCCAATGTCACCTTAGGTTTCCGCATCTATGACAGCTATTTCAATGCCAAATGGACCTCTCATGCCACAATGTTACTCATATCCACACTGGAAACATTTGTCCCCAACTACATCTGTGACATCAAGAAAAACTTGATAGCCATCATTGGAGGACTCGACTCCCAAACTTCCCTTCATGTGGCAACAATCTTGGATATCTATAAGGTTCCACAGGTGAGATATGCATCTCTTTGTCAACTTACGGGAATTTAACACATCTAGATATATTCTGATAAACGAACGCGCACATTTCAAATAATCATGTGGGCCACGCTAATGGCAGATCCAAGTTAAGAAATCAAGTATAGATAGCACATATATTATTGCTTCAGACATCCCTTTTGGCCTAGCCAGTTCCTGATAAATGATAACAGCTCATTGGCAGGTGTGTATCACTTGGCTTAGCAAAAAGAGCTTAGCATGGGCAACCCAAAGGGCAAAGATTAGAAGGCCCAATTGGAAAATGCCCCCAACAGTACTCTTAATACACAAATCTAATATAAAAAAGTTATTGTTGCTTCTGTCTCTTTCTCCTCCTACCACAACTACGTTTAGCTGATATATGGCCCTGCTCCAGTGATGAATGATAAAACCCCAGGCCTTTTCTTCTACCAGATGGTGCCCAAGGAAGCCCACCAGTATAAGGGGATCCTGTCTTTGCTTCTGCATTTCCGGTGGATATGGATTGGAATCCTTACTTTCTATGATGAGAATGCAGAAAGATTTGTGCAAACTGTGGTTCCACTATTTTCCCAGAGTGGGATTTGCTTTGCCTTCATAGAAAGAAGTCACAAATCTACATATGTCACTGAAATTAACGATATGTTTAAACTGGGGGCAAAAATAAATGACAGAATAAATGATAGCAAAGCCAATGTAGTCTTGTTTTATGGAGAATCACATGCTCTGGCATTTTTTAGATGGTTTCCTTACCTATCAGAACTGGAACAAAGTTCAAATACCCCAAAAGGTAAAGTGTGGATCATGACAGCCCAGGTGGAGCTCACTTCTTTTGTCTATCAATGGACATGGGATACAGAGAGACTCCATGGGGTTCTCTCATTCACAACTCACTCAAATGATCCACCAGGATTTCGTAAATTTGTCAAGAGCAAAACCCCTTCCAACCCAAAAGGAGATGGCTTTATTTTGGACTTCTGGCAACAGGCATTTGGCTGTGTATTTCCAAATCGAGTGGTTGGCAGTGTGAAGGGGGATATTTGCACTGGGCAAGAGAAGCTGGAGAATCTTCCTGGTCCTTTCTTTGAAATGAGCATGACTAGCCACAGCTACAACATCTACAATGCTATCTATGCTGTGGCCCATGCTTTACATGCCATGTCTACATCCCGAGGCAAACACAGACCAGTAATGATCAGGGGAGGAGTGAAGTTTCACAAAAAACCGCTGTGGCAGGTACTGGACTGCACACCCTTCCTCAAAGAGGTTCATAACATGTTCTGTTTGCCTTTTCTATCTGTCCATTTGGTTAACATTCATTATCCCTATGCAACCACAGCAGGGGTCAGCAATGTGGGTGCAGCAATGGTCTTGAAATCTTCTCCAGATGCCCTCAAAACCACTTCCTAGATTCACTGCCCTTTGGCCATGAGATGCACATAGAGCTAAATGAGAGTTTCTTCACATGCTTTTCTAGCTTCACTTTCAGCCCACTGGACTTCGCTGTCTATTAACATCAGACAGAAACCTTCACTGTATTCATTTAGTTACAGATAGGTAGCCATGTTGGTCTGCCATAGTCAAAATAAAAAAATTCCTTCCAGTAGCACCTTAAAGACCAACTAAGTTAGTTCTTGGTATGAGCTTTCGTGTGCATGCACACTTCTTCAGATACACAGTGTATCTGAAGAAGTGTGCATGCACACGAAAGCTCATACCAAGAACTAACTTAGTTGGTCTTTAAGGTGCTACTGGAAGGAATTTTTTTATTTTGTATTCATTTAGGCACCTGCTTAAAACATTTTTGTTTAGGCAAGTCTCATGGGTGTTGCCGTATTTTAATCTCCTTGCATTATACTGCTAATTATTATTATTATTATTATTATTATTGGTTCAAAAACTGGATTTATTGTAATTTTTATTATTTTAAATATTTTAAATTTCTTCTTTTAAATGGTTTCAACTTAAAGTAGAAATACTGAAATAGAACAAAAGAAAATGAATTCCATCCAAGCATGATATAGCCAACTTCTAGACTTTGCCTTTATCACTATTACTTCTTTAACCTGTTTCTTCAACTATTAATAGTAACCTCTTAGTGTCAGTATATGGAAACATCACAGCTACAGACAACCAGATTGTTGACATCACATGATGCGCCTATCTGTGGGAAAGAAGAATTTCCCAGGAAGTTCACAGGCTGGATAAGTCTCTGTGAAGAGTGTAATTTGAAACCTTCCGTGTGCGCATGTTCAGGAAGTTTGTCAGACGTGCTAGAACTGAACTGAAAGGACGTGTTTTTCTCTAGTGCTTTAATGTCAGAAATAAACATCATGTAAATAGATTTCTGACTTACTTTTCATTCCCCTGCGGAAGCAGGAGGAGGGGCTGTGCATTTCCCCACGCTTGGGAAAATGTCGCCTATCAAAATCTCCCTGGTCTGTCTGGATGTCAGCCAGAGGAGGTTACCGGTAAGCAAGCTCAGAGGACAGTGAGAGGGTCCAGCCTCTGAGGAGGGGGCTTGCAAACCGACACTTAGATGAGCATGGGATTGTTTTCTCATTTACCTCTGAAGTTGGTGTATAAAAGGCATAATATATCACGTAGCATAGCATATAGTGTCTATAGAGAGCAATGTGATGTATTTTAGACAACAAAATGAACAGAGCACTCACTTTCCACTAATAAATTATTAGTGTGTGTGCATTTGCTGCAGGAGATCTTAAAAATCTGTAATTTGAAATGAACTTCCAGATGTGAGAAATACCTGGCTATATATGAAAAGAAATCTGCTTTCCGCCAAAATGGATATTTGGAAACCTGCCATAAAAAGTGAACATTATAGTTATCTCTTGCTGAATTGAAGCCTTATTGATACTTTCTCTTCCTTTTTCTATCCAGCTCCATTATTTTCTGAGGGGTATCTCATTTAACAACAGCGCTGGGGATAAGATTTCCTTGGACCAGAATGGGGAGATACTAGCTGGATTTGATATTACCAATTGGATTGTTTCCTCCAACCAATCCTTTCAGAGAGTGAAGGTAGGAGGGGTGGATTCCCTGGCTCCTCCACAGCAAGCGTTGACCATCAATGAGGGAGCCATAAAATGGCACCATTGGTTTAACCAGGTAGGATGCGAACATCAGTCAGTTGTGATTTTAAACACTTTAACATAACATATAAAGATAATTTCATTATACATTCTTCAGCCTTTATAAAATTGGATTGGACTAAAGATTAAAGATAGAACAAGCTATGTATTAATGTTATAAGCTGAATGCACAGCCTCTATACTGGTTCCTTTAACACTGGAAATGAATGTATTAATTGAGAACTCAAAGAAGTGAATTCTATTGAATTCTATTCTATATATTCTGTTGAATATATTGTTATGAGTTTGGAGGATCAGTCTGAATTCAAGCCTGGTTCCCATTCCAATCCTGGGATCCTGCATCAGTGAGAGGAGAACACATAAAGGGAAGCTTGCAGAACTAGTTTAAATAAAGCCATATGCTTGAATGTTTAAATAAAGCCATATATGCTCAAGACTCTGTGGTCTCTTGATTCTCTCACTGCTCAGAGCCTGATGTAGCATATAACAATATAAATGCAAATTGCACCCAATGGGCCAACCTAGATAGTATCTCAAATACTTGGGCTGCCACACATCTGTGCCTATATTTATAACAATGCTGAGAGAAGGAAGAAACATGATGTGACATCAGCTTTCACATAACCCCCGTAACAAAAACCTAATCCCTATAACTTCTGGTTGTTATATTCTTAGACAGAACAAAAGAACAATGTAAAGTCATTGGTGTTTAATATAGTCTGTTCAATATCATCAACAAGGAAGTCCTTACACCTCTCTGTACCTCAGTACCCCTTGGCTGTCACTATGAATCATTCTCTGGGGCATCTGAATGCTCCTCCTTCGATACTGATATTAAGCCCACAAATGAATAGCTGAGTGGAGAATTAGATGCCACCATCTACTGGATAGAGAGCAATGGCTCTCTATTGTGGCTTTGCTAAAAGACCCAAGGCAAGAATGTGGGATGCTGTAAATCCCTTTTAAGGGAGAGCTTCCCCTTTTAGCTTTTCTTTGAGTCCACTTATTTTATACATCTCTCTCTTTTATTTATGTAATAGACACAGCCTAATTCTGTATGTACTGAGAGCTGCCGCCCTGGTTTTTGCAGGAAAGTGAAGGAGGGGGAAGCATTTTGCTGCTACGATTGCATCCCATGTCCAGAAGGAAAGATTTCAGACCAGGAGGGTAAGAAATTTACTGTCTATATTTATAACTTGTTGCCTCTAATCCGAGAGCATGCATATAAAATTATGCAATCACCAAGATTCCTTTTTACAGCTTATGAAATATTTAGAAATCTAGCAGAAGAGGGACCTAATGAAGGTATGTGTGTGTGTGATAAATTGTGATGTTGAATGCTATTATTAAGGAAGAATCCTATAGCAAGCTCCACCAGGGTGAACAGGATTAGTAGAAAGTGGATTTTCAGATGAGCCAGAATGAGCATTCTGTAACAGCTGGAAATATCATATAGGGTTGAGACCAGGGTGGAGGGTATACTTAGCATACAACACATGAAGGCTATTCAGCTTGGTCACATGATTTGGAAACCCAACCTAAATTAAGCTAATGAAAAGGGTGGTGTAACCCCAACACTATTTTAAAAGTTTGTTTTCTATCTGACAAGCTTTGAGTAGCTCAAGGAATGGCAGCCCTGATCCTGAATGCATTTTGCATCTGGTACACTTTATGCTGTCTTAATTTATGGCAGGATTGCATTTCACCATCATCTTGGCATAGTATTTGTCCTTAATTGTGAAATCATCTTCTACAGCAGTCCTTGAAAGCTGTTTTGACACTTTGACTAGAGATGGCAGAATCCCTTTTACTTTCACATATTTTTGCCCATTATTCGGTTGATTTATTATATACTTAATCCTGCATTTTCTCTTGAAATGTGCTTAGACATTTATTTTTCCCTTACAAACACTATTTCAATGTCCACTTACTTTCTGGTAACATATTTAAACATTTATTTTGATGCCCTGAAACTTCAGAGAATTGTGCCGTAATGTATGGAGAAGTGTGAAATACTTAAATCCAGAAAACAGTTGATAGATGTTGAAAGGTCATAGAATGTTGAAATTTGCAAAAACTGAATTACACAATCACTCCTTAATGAAGGAGTAAGTAAGTGGGAGCAACAAAAACAGTGAGAGGAAAATTTGAGTTGGCTTCTGTATATAGATCAGGAAGTGTATCTCTGTCCCCCCCCCCCTTGAATTTTAACATCATCAGTATTCAACATGGGTTCATCATTTTCAATATTAATTGTTTTGAGCTCCTTATATGCTTTCGTATTCACAAGATCAAACTTTAATTTTAAAAAACCGGTTCAAAATATTGAAGGGAAAAAAAAACAATAGAGGAAGCGGAGTGGCATGTTGGTCATTTTTTTGGATTGAAGAACCATGTTTTTCTTTCTCAGACATGAATGACTGCTATGAATGTGAAGATGAAAAGTATCCAAACAAACATAAGACTATATGTCTTCCCAAGCATGCAACCTTCTTGTCCTTCGAAGAACCTATGGGCCTCAGCTTAGCCTGTTCTGGTCTTTCCTTTGCTTTCATTACAGCACTGGTACTGGAAATATTTGTGAAGCACAGGGACACTCCCATTGTGAAAGCCAACAACCGGGACCTCACGTACGCTCTGCTCATCTCCCTCTTGCTTTGCTTCCTTTCTGCATTACTGTTCATCGGATATCCTGACAAGGTGACATGTCTCTTCCGACAAACTGCTTTTGGCATCATCTTCTCAGTGGCTGTTTCTTGTGTGCTGGCAAAAACCATCACTGTGGTTCTGGCTTTCATGGCCACAAAACCAGGATCCCGGATGAGGAAGTGGGTGGGGAAGGGACTGGCAAACTCTATTGTCCTCTCCTGCTCCCTTATCCAAGCACTCATCTGCACTGTATGGCTGGTGATCTCTCCTCCATTCCCTAATCTTGACATGAAGTCAGTGGCTGAAGAAATTGTACTGGAGTGCAATGAGGGGACGGTGACCTTCTTTTGCTGTGTCTTGGGCTACATGGGCTTCCTAGCTATTGTCAGTTTCACTGTGGCCTTCCTTGCTCGGAAATTACCTGACAGTTTCAATGAAGCCAAGTTCATCACTTTCAGCATGTTGGTCTTTTGCAGTGTTTGGTTATCCTTTGTTCCTACCTACATGAGCACAAAGGGGAAATACATGGTGGCTGTGGAGATCTTCTCTATCTTAGCCTCCAGTGCTGGCTTGTTGGGTTGCATCTTTTGCCCAAAATGTTACATTATTTTGCTGAAGCCTGAGCTGAACAGTAAGGAGCACCTAATAAGAAGAAAATTTTCTTAAACTGAACATAATACATAGACGAGTTTATATCTGAAGAGAAATTCCAATTCACATATCGAACCAATTCTTTCTCAAAATCAAATCTTTGTTTAGAAAATGCCTTTAGAGCTCTTCAGTTTCCAAGAATATCTATGCAAAAAATGCAAATACGGATAAAATGAAGAGGATTTGGAATCCGAATCTTAGAATTGTACCACTAAGCATACTTCCTCTCAGGTACACAATTCTGGAGACCTATAACTGAAAACAACTGTCCAAATGGGGCTGCTTTGGAATATTCCTTTCTAGCACCTCTAGAAAGATGGGCAGGACTTGAGTCTAAATACATTAATACTCAATATGCTATTGAAACAATAACTTTAATTCTAACGAAATGGCACCACATGTCCCAAAAATATAAATTTTACCCTTTCTTCCTCAACAAAATGACTTTGTGGGGAAACCCATCTTTAATAATCAGGAAAGAAATGGTTTTTTGGAGGAGGTGGATCAATCAGTGTATATTAACGTTAGACCAGCTAATAAATGAAGAGGAGGAATTTTATACATATTCCATTTTAAGAGACAAATACAGATTGCCTACAAATGCTCAATGCAAATATCTCCAGATATATTGAAGCAGTTGATTGATTCTTATGCAAAAAAGGTGGCCCTTGACATATATAAATCTTAGTTAGTAGCAAACTAATTTGATATACAGGTATTGAGGGAGGGTTGGAATAAGAAATTAGAGACCTCAATTTTGACCACACAGTTAGACACTGTTTTTAATGCTATAACAAGGGTGTCTGTGGACCTTAAACTGAGGCTCATACAACAAGAAATAATATTTAGAATATACTGGATCCCATGTTGTTTGCTTTAAAAAGGGCTATCTAAGGTATCTAACTGTTGGAGATGCAATAGGGATAATCCTGTATTGAAAGGTTTTTGGCAGAAGGAAACTGAAACTATCCACAGAACTGTGTGGAACAACTTTACATTTACAGAGCAAAATATCCTCTTGAATTATACACAAAGTGCATGGAATAATATGTGTGGACTCTCCATGCCCTTACCACAGAAAAAAGACTGATACTGATAAATTGGGAAAAATAAACATGTTGCTCCATTCTATGATTAGATTGAAGAATTATATAACCTAAAACATGAAGAAATTTTCTCTTTCTCTTTTTTTCTCTTTTATTTACGTCTCACCATGTTTAGTCCACATATAATTATGTACTTTTTGAACTTTAAATAAAGATGTTTAAAGGGCGGCGGGGCGGGGGGAAATAACCAAGAAGAAAATGCTGAAGAAATCAAAAGTATGTGACATTGGCCATAATATTTAGTTCAGAGATTTGTATGCATCTCTGAAAAGAAGCACCCAGAATCCTCTTCAGGCTAACACTGCACAGGATTAAACCCTCCTCTGCTGTCAGTCAAAGTGGGAAGGAGATGGTGTGTCTCCTTCATCTGCCTGCTTCCAACTTTAATCAGAATTTTTGAAACACCAATAAAATATTAGCCCTGCCCCCAACTTGCTCTGTGGATGGATACAGTGCAGGGCCGTTGTTCCCTTCACCAGCCCAATCCAGGGCCACAGATTTCACACCCAGATCAGGTTGGCCGTGCAGATGCCTATTACCTGCAAATCTCCACTACTTTCCCTCTTTCAACATACTGAGTCCACCATCTTCAGCAATTCCAGATCTCCTGTACCTGCTCACTGTGAACTCTGTGTTTGTTGTTCTTAGGCCTCGGCACTGTACTATTCTGCCCTGATAGTCTTCCCCACAAATATTCCATACTAGAGATGTAACAATTTTACCATGTCTAATCCCATCTTACTTTTCTGCATGTGGCTGTTAATGTATATCCTGCCCCATTCTAGTGGAGATTTTTTAGGATAAGTTTGTGAAAATCTTTTTTAAAATGCACATAACAACAGTCACAAAAAATAACACACTGAGTACTATAAGGTTTATGAAGGACCTACTCTATCTTTTTTCCCCACTTGCTTTCTTCAAAACTCTAAATCTGACAGATAATCTGGGTAAAAATGTTTTGCCATCCGTCTCAAACTAAGGAAGACTCAAGATCCCATGGGGTTTCCCTCGAGTGGTTGAAACCATAGAAACTTCTGTAACTAGGGGTTATGTTTCACCACTTTCTTTTCCCCTTTGAATGAACTCTTCTCTTTTGAAATTATGGAGTATGAATGAATTAGAATATTAGAATTAAAATATACCCATGAAAGCATTACATTGCAATATTATAACATAGTTGCTGAAACCTTATTACCCACCACCCTACTGTAATAAAAGTTTGCTTTTTAAATTCTCTGTTGTGAGTTTAGAAGTGTTTAGGCACATTTGAAGGGCACCATGTGTTTGACTTACAAAACAGAGCCACCTCTTATATGTGTATGTTTAGAGGTTCATAGGTAGATTACATGTATATGTATCTCCCAACACTTCCTAGGCATCAGGATAAAAGCATAGCCAGAATTCTTCTCTTTATTAACTGAGTATTCCATATTGGTACATCTGCTCTACAATATTTGGTTGAGACCTGAACTAAACAATAGGGATTGATTATTTAAAAGGAAGTCTTGTAGAATGCATGAGTTTCACTTTCCTATATTGTATTGGCTAGAAATTTGTGTCCATCCATGACATTGTCACATTGTCTAAATGAGGAATCTGGGGGAGGGGTCATTTTATGATACCAAACTCATTGATCAAATTTGCTGATGAAGCTGGAACAGCATGACAAGGAACTGAACACGAGGTTATCAATGAGAAACAAAGAAAGACCTGGAGAGCCAATTAGAAAGAGATACTCAAAGTGAGTTGGAGATAGTGAAAGAGTAGTCCAGCGCATCTATCACTGTTGATCCAGAAGGTCAGGAGACTCCAAGGAACTCCACATTGAAACCTTCATGCATGGCAGTAGGATCCCTGTTGGGGAGCTTTGGGGTCACATTATGATACATCTAATGAAATAAAATTACTATACAGGGATCTGCTACCTTCAAATATTACTCTTTCTAATGATATAAACTCATTTATTATACTTGAACAGCTCATATTCCGCCATTTTTGTTCTTGCTGTTGTGTATTTTATATACGGTTATGAATTTGGGCTGGAACGGGGGGAAGTAGGCTGCATGTCAGATCCTTCTAATCCCTGGATCCAGAAAGTGTTAAAATATAAGCCAGGCTGCATTCCTGTGTTGAGGTGTTTGCTTGGGTGATGGGCCATTGGGAGAACAAAGGAGAGTGGGCTCTATTTTGTTTTGTTTTTTTAAAATCATATTTATTAAAGTTTCCAATATAACAGAAAAAAAGATAGAAAGGAAAGAAATATATTTAAAACCTTACTTTCGTTACCCTAGGACTCCCCCCTCCCCCTCCCGACTGTATTCCCCTTTCATTAATTTGGTTCTACAAGTTCTCACTCCCAATTTAAAACTTAATATGTTTAACCCATTAACCAATTTAAATTATACAATCTTACCATCACCCCTCATCTTTAGCAAAAAAAAGAAAGAATTCCCCAAGATCTACCCCAATTTCCTTCCACGAATTCCCTTTTTTTAAAAAAAACATGTCAAATCAAAATACCATAATATAAAAAAGTTATATAAAGAAATAGAAGATAAAAAATATAAGTAAAGTCAAAAAGTTGGTTATATAGCCTTTGGATTCCAAAACTCCCCCCTCCCTTCCCCGGTTTGAATTCCCCATGTCCATCAGTCTATATATTGTCAGCCTGTAGGTCTCAAGTCCATGACCAAATTTTTTCCCCTTCCACCTTTCCGGTTTTCTTTTAATTTGTTTATTTTCATGATGTTTAACTTCCAAAAATCCAGTCTAATAGAGGCCTTTAATTTCCTTAATCTTTGTTGCTCCTCCCATTGTTCTTTCCGTGTCGTAGTTAGTCCTTTGTTCTTTTTATTCCTTACTTTCTCAGGTTTCTTGTCTTATTCAGCTGCTAAAGCGTTCTTATTCCAAAATCTAGTATCTCTGCAGAGGTTTGTTATTCAGGAACAAAAACTTACGTCCAGTCCCTTCCTTTCTTCAATAGAAAATTCTATTGTCTCCTTTTAGTGTAAACACCTCTTGTAGACAAAATACTGTTTCAGTTTTGCAGCTTTCCCAGAAGATAAGTCCTGTGCCAATCCCAGAGTAATTTTCCACGTACGACCACTTGTAATGTCCCGAAACCCCTCTAGGGGGATTGCAATAACTTTGTATCCTCTAGTCCAAAAGTCAATTTGTTGTTCCTTAATTTCCGACAGTTTATATCCATATTATGTCAAATTGTAACAAAATTAGCCAACAAAATCCTTGTAACAAAGTCCTCTTTATGTTCTCCAACTTTGACAGCTACTTTGACAGCTGTCAAAGTCTCCGTCTCTCCTCTCCAGGCTCTACGAATCGCCCGGTTCCCAGGGGGGGTTGCATTTTCCCTCTCACCCTCCACTCTTCTCCTCCAGCACAATTCTTGTAATTTCCAATCGTGGAAGTAATAATTTTTATCAGCAATAAACTTCTCTTCCGATCTTGGTTACCCAGTTCTTGTTTTAGAATGTTTACAATCGGGGGGGGGACTGACTTCCTTTTTAGATCACCCCCGCTCATGCCGAATCCAAAAAAAAATTTCTTTTTTTCTCCTTTTGTACCCGGTTTCCCAATTACTCACGGGTTGTTGTTGATAGTCCGAATTTCCAATGGAAGAAGCCAGCGCTCTCCGTCGAATGGCATGCGGCTGTGCCCGGCAGGGGAAGCGATAGACTCACAGCACCACGCCACTCCCCGGCACCCGATCCGCAGCCTTTAAAAAGGCTCCTTCACGAGTCGGGAGGGCGCTAGCGGTACCAGCCGAGTCCCCATGTCCACGGGCTCCGTGCCCATGGTTTTTGAGGGTCCCCGCGTCGCCGGCGCGGTAGGACCCAGCCCCTGCCAAGCAGACTCCCTCCGGAGCTCGGAGGGAGTCCACCATTCGGCGATGGCGCCAACCCGGAAGTCCAAAAGTGGGCTCTATTTTGGAGAAGAAATGGTTGGAGCCCCTCCATCATCTGGGTGGAAGGACAAAGCCTGTGTTTAGAGTTGAGAGTTTGCAGTGATATGACCTGGAAAGCAGCAAGCTTTCTTTTCTTTTCTTTTAAAGCATAAATGTTTGATTTCTGTTTGAATCCGAAGGCTACAGCTATTAGAAAAACTAGACCTTTAGGTGTATTAATGCTGTGAATACCACCATCGTAGGCTCAGGTCGTATAATATTGTAACATTTATAACATTTATTAATATTAGAACTTTCCAGGTCAGAATTTCAAGAAGCCAGTGCTATCATCAGACATATCCATTTCCTCCCTCTCTTGAGACCAAAGGGTTGTATTTTCAGTATTGTTTTCCATCTTGTTTATTACTGTAAGCCAAAGCCATATGCAGCTAAGAGGAAATGAAAACTTCTGTTCAGAAAAACACACAAATGACTGTCTTCCCTTTAATTATACAAAGAACTATAATTAATGTTCCCTTGTGTCAAAGCACTTCAAGGAATTGCAAAGTACACTGTCCAAGCTAATGAGAAAGTCTGTAAAAGGTATTATAACTGAGCCTTTCAAAGTCTAGTGTCATTGGACTGTTGTGGATCCCAACCCCATCACTTGCAGCCAGCTTTGAATGTTGTGAATTAGAGTGCAAAACACCTGAAGGATAGAAGGTTGGAGAAGCCTTACAAAAATATATTACCTCCAGCAATCACAGTTAGGCTTAGGAATCAGAAACCAGCAAGGATCCATCAATGTCATCACTATTTTTTTTCACCAGTTTTCACATTACGGATTTCAGACATATGAACAGACTAACAGACTAACAGACATATGAACAGACTAATCAGGTCAGACTACTTCAGTCTCCAATGCTGTAAAATAACAAGGGGGATCTTTTTGTAGGGAAAGATTGTGCCAAAGATGGTGGCATTGTTGGTCTTGCTGCTGACTATACTTCCTCATGCAATATGCAAACCTCCCATTGTTAAATGTCATGTCCATGATCCATACACTCCAATTCATCAGTATCATCAGGAAGGAGACCTCATCCTTGGTGGCATAGCCTCTCACAGCATCATCGTCTCCAGTTCAATAGCCTTCACCGAAAAACCCCCACCAACATTGCTTGAAGAGCTATAGTAAGACCTTGATAATTTTACTTCTACGTTTTGTTTCATTCTTTGGACACTGTGGAGATTAATTTTAGAGGAGGGGTGGATAAACTGTGGCCGTGCAGTGGTTGTTCGACTCCATGAGATCCAGCCGAGAATGTCCATCAATTATAATGGATATTGTTGGACAACAACACCTGTAGGCCACAGTTCTCCACCCTTGTCCTAGAGGCAGAACTACTGTTTGGATCAAAGGAGATATGACGTGGGAGAAATGTGGTCAGGAGGATTTCCACTAGTCTGAAGAAATTTTTGCCAGTTCCCCCACTGAATTAAACATTCAGGTATAATATGAAGACATGTAATATTGTTCTGTAAATAACTGCATCACTTTTGCTTCAGGGCCCCAAGAGAATGAAAAAAGGGCACAGATTATGAAACCAGCATTAAAGATGTGGATTAGGGACATTCTGCACTCCGCTCCCATAGAATATTCCCCTACATCCCTTTTCTACCATTTTAGGCAAATAGGAGAAACACTTGTAGTGATACCTGTTTAAGAGTTTCCTCCCCTGCAAAAAAAACCAAAACCTTAAATAATTGCAGTAAAAAATAATACTAATGGGGATGATGTAGAACTGAGCTGTGATTAATTTGCAAAGTGTTATATGCCGTTCTGATAGAAAACGAAACTCTCTTTTTAGTGTGGTACCTAAGAACTACCAGCATATACTAGCCCTGCAATTTGCAGTGAAGGAGATCAACGAAAACCCTCAGCTTTTACCCAATGTCACTTTAGGCTTCCGTATCTATGACAGTTATTTCAATGCCAAATGGACCTCTCATGCCACAATGTTACTCATATCCACACTGGAAACATTTGTCCCCAACTACATCTGTGACATCAAGAAAATCTTGATAGCCATCATTGGGGGACTGGACTCCCAAACTTCCCTTCATGTGGCAACAATCTTGGATATCTATAAGGTTTCACAGGTGAGATGTGTATCTCTCTGGCATGTCATGGAAACTAGGCACATCCCGATACATTTGGATAATAAAATGTGCACTTTTCAAATAATCAGGTGGGCCATGCTAATGGCAGATCCAAGTTAAGAAATCAAGTAATGATAGCACATAAATTATTGCTTCAGGTGTCCCTTTGGGCCTGGCCAATGTGTGATATATGGTAACAGCTGATTGGCAGGTGACTGTTGCTTGGCTTAGCAAAAATAGCATGAGCAGCCCAACTGGTGACGATTGGAAGGCCGAACTGGAAATTGCCCCAGTGATGCTTGTAATACACACTTCTAATACAAAAAAGTTATTGTTGCTTCTGTCTCTTTCTCCTCCTCCAACAACTATGTTTAGCTGATATATGGCCCTGCTCCAGTGATGAATGATAAAACCCCAGGCCTTTTCTTCTACCAGATGGTGCCCAAGGAAGCCCACCAGTATAAGGGGATCCTGTCTTTGCTTCTGCATTTCAAGTGGATATGGATTGGGATCCTTACTTTCTATGATGAGAATGCAGAAAGATTTGTGCAAACCGTGGTTCCACTATTTTCCCAGAGTGGCATCTGTTTTGCCTTCATAGAAAGAAGTCACAAACCGACTTATGTCACTGAAATTAACAGTTTGTTTCAACTGGGGGCAAAAATACATGACAAAATAAATGATAGCAAAGCCAATGTGGTGTTGTTCTATGGAGAATCAAATTCTGGGGCATATTTTAGGTGGTTTCCTTACCTATCAGAACTTGAACAAAGTTCTGATAAATCAAAAGGTAAAGTGTGGATTATGACAGCCCAGGCAGAGCTCACTTCTTTTGTCTATCAACGGACTTGGGATACAGAAATACTCCATGGGGTTCTCTCATTCACAACTCACTCAAATGATCCACCAGGATTTCGTCAGTTTGTCCAGAGCAAAACCCCTTCCAGCCCAAAAGGAGATGGCTTCATTTTGGACTTCTGGCAACAGGCATTTGGCTGTGTATTTCCAAATCGAGTTGTTGGCAGTGTAAAGGGGGATATTTGCACTGGGCAAGAGAAGCTGGAGAATCTTCCTGGTCCTTTCTTTGAAATCAGCATGACCAGCCACAGCTACAACATCTACAATGCTGTCTATGCTGTGGCCCATGCTTTACATGCCATGTCTGCATCCCGAGGCAAACACAGACCAGTAATGGTCAGGGGAGGAATGAAGTTTCAGATTCAACCGCTGTGGCAGGTAATGGGCTGAACACCCTTCCTCAAAGAGGTTCAAAACATGTTCTGTTTGCCTTTTTCTATCGATCTATTCCGTTGCTGTCCCTTTTCCTATGAAACCACAGCAGGGGTCACCAATGCTCTTGAAATCTTCCCAGGTTCCCCCAAAGCCACTTCCCCAATTCAGTGCCCTTTGGCCATGTGATAGTTGCCATATCTCTCTTGAAATGCCAAAACCGCCCGGGGATCAACTAGTTGTTCCCAGTCGACCTGTTAAACATCCATGGCATATAGTGTCTATAGGGAGCAAGATGATATATTATAGAGAACAAAATGAACAGAGCACCCACTTTCCTGTCAATTGAGTATTTATGCTTTATATGTCATGTCTGCGTCCCAAGTCAAACACAGACCAGTAATGATCAGCGAAGGAATGAAGTTTGACAAACAACCTCTGTGGCAGCTACTGGGTTGATCACCCTTCCTGAAAGAGGTTCAAAACATGTTCTGTTTGCCTTTTCTATCTTTCTGTTAGGTTAATTGTCATTTTTTTTCTAAGCAATCACAGATTTTTGCTCTTGAAATCTTCCCCAGGTGCCCCCAAAGCCACTTCCTCAATTCACTGCCCTTTGGCTATAGGATAGTTGCCTTATCTCTCTTGAAATACACATAGTGACAAATGGGAACATCTCCACATGCTTTTCTAGGTTCATATACAGCCTACTAGACTTCCCTGTCTATTGACATTAGACAAACACCTTCATTGTATTCATTTAGGCACCTGTATTTTTTTTAGGCAAATCTGCCAGTCGCATGTGTGTTGACATTATTTAATCTTTCATTTTACTGCTAATTCTTATTATTTAAAAAGTTTTAAATTTCTTCTTTTAAACTGCTTGAACTTAAAGTAGAAATACAGAAAGAGAAAAAAAAGGAATGAATTCTATCCAAGCATGATATAGCCAACTTCTAGATTTTGCTTTTATCACCATTCCTTCTTCAACCTGTTGCTTCAACTATTCATACCAACCTCTTAAATCAGCATGGGGCTGATTCCTCATTTACTTCTGAAGTTGGAGTATCAAAGGAATGATATATCATAGCATAGATATAGAGTCAATAAAGAGCTTTCTAACTTTCTAAAGCTTTTTATGGCTGTGTGTGCATTTGCTGCAGATCTTAATTTAATTTAAAATGAACTTTGAAATGCGAGAAATGCTTGGCTTAAATCTTAAAGGTAAAAGTACCCCTGACCGTTAGGTCCAGTCACAGACGACTCTGGGGTTGCATGTTCATCTCGCTTTACTGGCCGAGGGAGCCGGTGTCTGTCCACAGAAAACCTCTGGGTCATGTGACCATCATGACTAAGCTGCTTCTGGCAAACCAGAGCAGTGCATGGAAATGCCGTTTACCTTCCCACCAGAGTGGTACCTATTTATCTGCTTGCATTTTGACGTGCTTTCAAACTTCTAGGTGAGCAGGAGCTGGGACCAAAAAATGGGAGCTCACCCCGTCACGGGGATTTGAATCGCTGACCTTCTGATCGGCAAGTCCAATAGGCTCAGTGATTTAGACCACCACTGGCTTAAATCTTATATACTGTATATATAAAAAGAAAGATGAAAAGAAAACTGCTTTCCTCCAAGGTGAATATTTGGAAACCTGACATAAAAGTAAGCATCATGATTGCGTCCTGCTAAATTGAAGCCTTTTCTCTACTTTCTCTTTCTTTTTCTATATAGCTCCATCATTTTCTGAGGGGTATCTCATTTAACAACAGTGCTGGGGATAAAATTTCCTTTGACCAGAATGGGGAGATACTAGCTGGAATTGATATTACCAATTGGATTCTTTCCTCAAACCAATCCTTTCAGAGGGTGAAGGTCGGAGGGGTGGATTCCCTGGCTCCTCCACATCAAGTGTTGACCATCAATGAGGGAGCCATCAAATGGCACCATTGGTTTAACCAGGTAGGATGGAACCATCAGCCAGACATTTTCACTGTATATTGTTCAACCTTTATAAAATTGGATTATAGATGGCACAAGCTTTGAATTAATGTTATTAGCTAAATGCACAGCCTCTATACTGGTTTCTGAATATATTGAATGATAACTTGAAGAAGTGAATTCTAAAAAGATGTAAATGTATTCTAACATTCTAAAATGTAAATGTAAAATGTAAATGTAAATGTAAAGTATTGCACTTGGGCAAAAAAAATGAGAGGCACAAATACAAGATGGGGGACACCTGGCTTGAGAGCAGTACATGTGAAAAGGATCTAGGAGTCTTGGTTGACCACAAACTTGACATGAGCCAACAGTGTGACGCGGCAGCTAAAAAAGCCAATGCAATTCTGGGCTGCATCAATAGGAGCATAGCATCTAGATCAAGGGAAGTAATAGTGCCACTGTATTCTGCTCTGGTCAGACCTCACCTGGAGTACTGTGTCCAGTTCTGGGCACCACAATTCAAGAAGGACACTGACAAACTGGAACGTGTCCAGAGGAGGGCAACCAAAATGGTCAAAGGCCTGGAAACGATGCCTTATGAGGAACGGCTAAGGGAGCTGGGCATGTTTAGCCTGGAGAAGAGGAGGTTAAGGGGTGATATGATAGCCATTGTTATGTAGTGTAGTTTCACCCTGGGCCAACAGGGGGATACTGTATATAGTTTTCACTCAGGTCTGTAGATAGTTTTCACTCAGGTCCGCGTCTGTTATTTTAGGCGGGAACTCTGGGCTGTTGTGGTTACAATGTTGACAGCCGGCTGCCTATAAATACAGGCCGGCTGAGCTGTTCGCAGTCAGTTCTATTCCAGCTTACCATAATAAAGAGCTACTTGAAGAAATCGCTGTGCCGGCTGCTATGTCAACCCACGACTTAACACTGGCGACGAAGGTGGGATGGATGGACATCAGAGCACAGCCAGATGCGGCCAGCCTCTGAACTGAGCTGAATCACTGAGCTGAATCACAGAGCGAAATCGCTGAGCGAAATCACTGGGCAGAACCAATTCAGAGCTGACTGTTCTGGCTAGAGCACTGTGTTCCATCCATCGCCCTTCACGCCGGCATCGGAATCATGGCTTCACTTGTGCCTCTACCGCCTTTTGCGCCAGCCTCTGAATCATGGGACTCCTACCTCGCTCGGTTCGACTGTTACCTCCAAGCCAACGAGCTGACAGAAGTATCACAGGAGCGGAAGCGGGGCCTATTCCTCAGCCTCTGTGGGCCTGAGGTGTTTGAGACGGCCCGAGCGTTGGTTGCGCCTGAAGCAGTCCAGGCAACACCATGGGACACGATCCAAGAGAAGCTCCGCAACCACTACGCACCAAAGCCGTCCAAGATTGCTGCCCGCCATGCGTTCTACCACCGGAACCAGGCAGAGGGGGAGTCAATCAACAACTACACCACCGCCCTGCGACAGGCTGCAATGCACTGTGAGTTCCGAGACTTAGACGATGCCCTGATGGATCGAATCGTCTGCGGGGTCCGGGACATCCATCTGCAACGGCGCCTCCTAGCCAAGCCAGACCTCACGCTACAGAAAGCCATTGAGGAGGCTGTGGCCTCAGAAGCTGCTGAACGCTCCGCCCAGGAGATCCGCAAGTCCAGCAGCCCGCGTCTTGCTAGGGAGCCAGTTCCGGTGCATCATGAAGAGGCCAGCAGTGAGGAGGCATCCTCCAGTGAAGACGATGACGTGCACCAGACAAAGCGGGAGCGCAGGAAGTTCCAACAGAAGTCCAAGGGCCAACCGGAATGTGCTGGCTGCGGAGGCAACCATTCCCGTGCCAAGTGTCGATTCAGAGACGCCATCTGTAGGAAGTGTTCCAGAAGGGGCCACATCGCTAAGGTCTGCCGATCGGCTCCGTCTGACACCCCCCCTTCATCGACTCGCAAGTCCAAGTCTTCACTCCAGTCTGCCAAGGAAAGTTGTTTCGCTCTCACCAACTGCCGCTGCCCGTCTGGAACCACGATTGGCCAAACCGACTCGCCTACGCGACGCAAGCTGAACGTCACGGTGCTCATTGAAGGAGCTCCATGTGACATGGAGATCGACACCGGGTCTGCCCTGTCCATCGTGTCATGGAGCACCATCAAAAGACTGGTACCCAGAGTGTCCAAAAGGCAACTCGACTCTCACCGCGTACACCTGAGAGACTACCAGGGAAACGACATTCCCGTGGTAGGCGTTGGCCGGTTCCGGATCGCCTTCAAGGATTTTTCGGGCCTGCTCCGGTTGGTGGTGGTCGAAGGTCAGCGGCCAAGCCTCCTAGGGCTAGACTGGTTTGATGCCCTTGGCCTGGAAGTCACCGGCATCAACTGCATCTCTAACGCAGAGACTGAGGGTCTGGTCAAAGACTTTGCCGAGGTTTTTGACGGCACCTTGGGCCAATATACAGGTACGCCCATCTCCTTTAGCCTTGATCCACAAGTCGCCCCCATCAAGCTAAAGCCACGCCGGGTTCCCTTTGCTCTCAAGGCTAAGGTGGACGAACAACTGGACAAACTGATCGCCCAAGGAGTTTTGGAGCCGGTTGACCACGCAAAGTGGGAAACCCCCATCGTCACGCCTGTCAAGCCAGATGGGTCGGTGAGAATCTGCGCTGACTACAAGTGCACGATCAACAAGGCACTTCAGCAGCACGCTTACCCAGTTCCTGTTGTCCAACACCTGCTGCATTCCCTGGGTGAGGGTAAGGTCTTCGCTAAGCTGGACCTTGCCCAAGCCTATCAACAACTGCCAGTCGATGATGCCACTGCTGAAGCCCAGACGATCGTCACCCACCGGGGGTCTTTCCGTTGCCGCCGGTTGCAGTTCGGGGTGAGTGTGGCTCCTGGCATCTTCCAAAGCCTTATGGAGCGTCTCCTGCAAGGGCTTCCGGGCGTGGTACCATATTTTGATGACGTCTTGGTGTCTGCAGACTCACACCAGCAGCTGTTCGAGCGCCTCCGTGCCGTGCTGACCAGGTTCCAGGAGGCCGGGCTCAAGGTAAAGAGGGACAAGTGCCAGATCGCAGTTCCACAGGTAGAGTTCCTGGGCTATCTTATCGATGCCTCCGGTCTTCATCCAACCACATCCAAGATCCGCGCTATCCAGCAGGCCCCCACCCCAAAGAACAAAACGGAGTTGCAGGCATTCCTGGGGCTGCTGAACTTTTATAACATGTTCCTGCCCCACAAAGCCACAGTGGCTGAGCCTCTTCACCGACTCCTTAGCACTAAGACGCCTTGGGCCTGGGGTCATCGGGAGACGGCGGCCTTCAACGCGGTCAAGGCTCTCCTTTCTTCAGACAGTGTGCTGGTACAGTACAGTGAATCCAGGCCGCTGGTCCTTGCCTGCGACGCCTCACCTTTTGGCATCGGTGCTGTCCTTAGTCACCGTTTTCCAGATGGAAGAGAAGCACCGCTCGCCTACTTTTCCAGGACACTATCTCCGACGGAACGGAATTACAGCCAGCTCGACAAGGAGGCATTGGCACTTGTGGCTGGAGTGAAGAGGTTCCATGAATACCTCTATGGCAGGACTTTTGACCTCATCACTGACCACAAGCCACTCCTGGGCCTCCTCGCCGGTGATCGTCCAACTCCACCGGTCCTCTCACCACGCATGCTGCGATGGACTGTTTTCCTGGCTGCCTACCACTACCGGCTCATCCATCACCCGGGGAAATCGATGGGCCATGCCGACGCCCTCAGCCGTTGCCCTCTTCCAGCATTTGTGGAAGACCCGGCTCCAGCTTCATCGCTCCTCCTGATTGAGGATCTTCCGGCAGCGCCTGTATCGGCTGCCACTGTGGCCACCGCATCTGCCCAGGATCGCACCATCAGCCGGGTGCTCAACTGGGTGTGGAGGGGGTGGCCACAAGGGCCTTTTGCATCGGAGTTCCAGCCCTTCGCAACCAGACAACATGAACTCTCAGCTCATCGCGGCTGCCTGCTGTGGGGAGACCGCGTCGTGATTCCCCAGGGACTCCGTCAGCGCGTCCTGGAGGCTCTGCACGTTGGCCACCCGGGAATTGTCAAAATGAAGGCGTTGGCTCGGTGTTACGTCTGGTGGCCTAATATGGACGATGCCATCACTGCCTGGGTGTCCGCCTGTCAAGCGTGCCAGGAGTCGAGGCCTGCACCACCGGCAGCTAAGGGACACACCTGGGAGACGCCAAAGACACCCTGGTCGAGGGTGCACATCGATCTGGCTGGCCCCTTTCACGGCCGGACCTTTATGGTAGTGGTGGACGCCTATTCCAAATGGCTGGAGGTCGCCCTGATGCCCTCCACCACTACCGAAGCTGTCATCCGGGTGCTGCGAGGCCTGTTTGCAACGCATGGGTGTCCTGATGTCCTTGTCTCTGACAACGGACCGCAGTTCACGTCAGGCACGTTTGAGCGGTATCTTTTGGGACTGGGCATCCGCCATGCCCTAACGGCACCCTTTCATCCACCCAGCAACGGGCAAGCGGAAAGAATGGTGCGCTCGACAAAAGAGGCACTGGCGCGCCTGGACCGGGGAGACTGGCATGAGCGGGTCGCCGAATACTTGTTCGTGCAACACATCACCCCTCATGCGGCCACAGGGAGGAGTCCGGCTGAACTGCTTATGGGCCGCCGCCTCAGGTCACCGCTCGACCGGCTACACCCAGACTTTGCCGTGGCTGAACCCCCAGGCTGTGCCAACGCACCACGGTCATTTGTCCCAGGAAACCAGGTCTTTGCCCGGAACTATGTGGGGGACATCCCTTGGGTGCCAGCCACAGTAGTGGGAGTCACTGGACCTCGCTCGTACCAGGTGGCACTCGAAGACGGACGCTTGTGGCGACGGCACATAGACCAGCTTAGGCGCAGGGTTGGGGACTTGGACACTACCGGGGTGCCCCCAACTGCGCTTGCGGCTCCAGAAGAGACACGTACAGATGGCGAGGCCCCACCTACACCTCCCTCGCAAGCTGCCAGCGTGGAGCCGAACCAAGCCGTTTCAGAACAGACTCAGACCACTCCACTTGCGGAGGCTCCACCCACAGCAGCGGATCCAGGGGAGTTGGTTCCAACTCCACCTAGGGTCGCACCACAGCCTCAGCGAGAACTGTGTGGCCCTCCGGACTTGGCTACCAGTCCCCGGCAGTCTGGCAGAGTTTCCAAGCGCCCAACTTATTTAAAGGACTATGTTGTTGGACAGGTATCACTGTTGGTCTAAGTATGGGAAATGTAACCGATATGCTTTTGTGCTTAATTGAACCATTACGCGTAGTGCTGTATATAAGGAAACCATTACGATTGTAACTAACGCCTTATCTCGGTGGGGAGGGGTGTTATGTAGTGTAGTTTCACCCTGGGCCAACAGGGGGATACTGTATATAGTTTTCACTCAGGTCTGTAGATAGTTTTCACTCAGGTCCGCGTCTGTTATTTTAGGCGGGAACTCTGGGCTGTTGTGGTTACAATGTTGACAGCCGGCTGCCTATAAATACAGGCCGGCTGAGCTGTTCGCAGTCAGTTCTATTCCAGCTTACCATAATAAAGAGCTACTTGAAGAAATCGCTGTGCCGGCTGCTATGTCAACCCACGACTTAACAGCCATGTTCAAATATATAAAAGGATGTCACATAGAGGAGGGAGAAAGGTTGTTTTCTGCTGCTCCAGACAAGCGTACACGGAGCAATGGATCCAAACTACAAGAAAGAAGATTCCACCTAAACATTAGGAAGAACTTCCTGACAGTAAGAGCTGTTCGACAGTGGAATTTGCTGCCAAGGAGTGTGGTGGAGTCTCCTACTTTGGAGGTCTTTAAGCAGAGGCTTGACAACCATATGTCAGGAGTGCTCTGATGGTGTTTCCTGCTTGGCAGGGGGTTGGACTCGATGGCCCTTGTGGTCTCTTCCAACTCTATGATTCTATGATTCTATGATTCTAAGATTTTTATGATATTGAATATATTGTTATGAGTTTGCAGGATCAGTCTGGATGAAACCCTGGTTTACATTACAGTTCTGGGCTCCTGCATCAGTGAGGGGAGAACAGATAAAGGGAAGACTGGTGACTGAGAGTAGCCACCGGGACCACAAAACACCGGTCCTGAGAGATCTCCATTGACTCCCAGTACGTTTCCAAGCACAATTCCAAGTGTTGGTGCTGACCTTTAAAGCCCTAAACTGCCTCTGTCCTGTATACCTGAAGGAGCGTCTCCACCCCCATTGTTTAGCCTGGACACTGAGATCCAGCGCCGAGGGCCTTCTGGCGGTTCCCTCATTGCGAGAAGTGAGGTTACAGGGAACCAGACAGAGGGCCTTCTCGTTGGTGGTGCCCGCCCTGTGGAACTCCCTCCCTTCAGATGTGAAGGAAATAAGTAGCTATCTTGTCTTTAAAAGACATCTGAAGGCAGCCTTGTTTAGGGAAGTTTTTAATATTTAATGCTGTATTGTTTTTAACACTCGATTGGAAGCCGCCCAGAGTGGCTGAGGAAACTCAGCCAGATGGGCGGGGTAGAAATAATAAGTTTGCTATACTACTTAATGGCATTGACTGGCTAGTTAAGACCAATGGATTGCAGGTATAAATATTTCATTTTCAAATGGGTCCTTATGTTAATTTTCAGCACTTTCTAAACTGTGGCTCCTTTTACAAAATGGGTTCAAGGTTTTGACACATTTGCACACCTCATAAGGCAGATTATGAATGCCATGTTTCAAGATTTTGCAATAGCAGGTGTATAACTCTGAAGCTTAATTTGCATTGACACAACCACAACCCCTTAATGTCACAGTGGCAGAAAGAACCTTGACTATAGACAATAATATTAAAAACTTTACTGTCTACAATAGTAACTGCAAAAAACAACAATTTATTGGAGTTTGCACATCGAGTCACTCATAAATGTCAGGAAATGAGTCAAAATGGAATTTAAACAGGCTAGTAAGTGAATTTCTGAAAATAATGTTCTCTTGCAAATCCCTTTTAAGGAAGAGCTTAACTTCCCTTTTTAGATTTTCTTTGAGTCCACTTATTTTATACATCTCTCTTTCTCTCTCATTTGTGTTCTAGACACAGCCTGACTCTGTATGTACTGAGAGCTGCCGCCCTGGTTTTTGCAGGAAAGTGAAGGAGGGGGAAGCATTTTGCTGCTACGATTGCATCCCATGTCCAGAAGGGAAGATTTCGGACCAGGAAGGTAAGTAATTTACTGTATATATTTATAACTTGTTGCCTCTAATCGAGAACATGCATATGAAATGATGCATTCACCATCATGAAATATTGAGAAATCTTGCTGAAGAGGGAATAATGAAAGTGTGTGTGATAATTTGTGATTGTGGATGTTGAATGCTGTTAATAAGGAAGAATGCTATAGAAAGATCCACCAGGATTAGTATAATGAGCCAGGAGGGTACTGTAAAAAGCTGGAAGTTTGCCATCATATCTCCCTCATCCAGGCTTACAAATGATATATTTTCCCTTAAAATAATATCTGCATGTGCATTTACTTCCGGGTAAAATATTTAAACATGTATTTTGATGCCCTTAAACTTCAGAGAATCATGCCGTAATGTTTGGAAAAGTGTGAAATATTGAAATCCAGGAAACAGTTGAAAGGTCTTGATGTAAAAATTTGCAAAGTCTCAAGTACACAATCACTCCTTAATTAAAGAATAAATAATTGTGAGCAACTAGAACAATGACGGGAAAAACTGAGTTGGGTTCTGATTGTAGATCAGGGAGGGTCTCTGTGGCCCTCCCTCCTGCATTTTGCCTCAGTTGGTATTCTACACTGGATAGGTGAGAAGGACATGGTTCCAAAATTTTAGTATTTATTTTTTAAAACTCCTTGTACACTTTTTAAATCATTTTAATTATGTATTTACAAGCAGTGGCATGTTGGTCATATTATTGGTATTAAGAACCATGGTTTTTTTTCTCAGACATGAATGACTGCTATGAATGTGAAGATGAAAAGTATCCAAACAAACATAAGACTATATGTATTCCCAAACGTGCAACCTTCTTGTCCTTTGAAGAACCTCTGGGCCTCAGCTTAGCCTGTTCTGGTCTTTCCTTTGCTTTCATTACAGCACTGGTACTGGAAATATTTGTGAAGCACAGGGACACTCCCATTGTGAAAGCCAACAACCGGGACCTCACCTACGCTCTGCTCATCTCCCTCTTGCTTTGCTTCCTTTCTGCATTACTGTTCATCGGATATCCGTACAAGGTGACATGTCTCCTTCGACAAACTGCTTTTGCCATCATCTTCTCAGTGGCTGTTTCTTGTGTGCTGGCAAAAACCATCACTGTGGTTCTGGCTTTCATGGCCACAAAACCAGGATCCCGGATGAGGAAATGGGTGGGGAAGGGACTGGCAAACTCTATTGTCTTCTCCTGCTCCCTTCTCCAAGCACTCATCTGCACTGTATGGCTGATGATCTCTCCTCCATTCCCTAATATTGACATGAAGTCAGTGGCTGAAGAAATTGTACTGGAGTGCAATGAGGGGACAGTGACCTTCTTTTACTGTGTCTTGGGCTACATGGGCTTCCTAGCTATGGTCAGTTTCACTGTGGCTTTCCTTGCCCGGAAATTACCTGACAGCTTCAACGAAGCCAAGTTCATCACTTTCAGCATGTTGGTCTTTTGCAGTGTTTGGTTATCCTTTGTTCCTACCTACATGAGCACAAAGGGGAAATACATGGTGGCTGTGGAGATCTTCTCTATCTTAGCCTCCAGTGGTGGGTTGTTGGGTTGCATCTTTTCCCCAAAATGTTACATTATTTTGCTGAGGCCTGAGCTGAACAATAGGGATCAACTAATAAGAAGAAATTGCTGAAGAAATCAAATGTCTGTGTCATTGGTTATAATATCTAGTAATGCCATTTCTATGTATCCCTGAAAAGAAGCACCCAGAAACCTCCTCAATCTCCCATATTCAGCTATTCCAGATCCACTGTATCTTTTCCTCTGCTCACTGTGAAGTCTGCATTTGTTATTCTTATACGTCGGCACTGTACTCTTCTGCCCTCATACTCTTTCCCACAACTTTCCAGGAGTTATGAAAATTTTTACCCTGTCTAATGGAAATCCTTTAAAAACTGGATGGTGGTGATGATGATGATGATAATAATAATAATAATAATAATAATAATAATAATAATAATAATAATAATATTTTTTTATTTATACCCCGCCCATCTGGCTGGGCTTCCCCAGCCACTCTGGGCGGCTTCCAAAAGAATATTAAAATACTATAATACATCAAACATTAAAAGCTTCCCTAAACAGGGCTGCCTTCAGATGTCTTCTAAAAGCCTGGTAGTTGTTGTTCTCTTTGACATCTGGTGGGAGGGTGTTCCACAGGGAAAGCGCCACTACCGAACATAAAAACAGTCACACAATATAAGCACTGAGTACTAAAAGGTTTATGAAGGACATGTTCTATCGTGACCCGCGCGTGCAGACGCAGCGCTGTGGGTTGCGAACGCTGTGGGTTGCGATCGTGCCTCCCACACGGATCACGTTCCCAACCCGAGGTTCCACTGTATTCATTAAATACAACATTAAGGAAAGCTTATTCTAACGAATTGCCCTTAGCAGCCGAGATAAACTATTACCATGACCACATCAAAGAAAGGGAAAGGGCTAAATAAATTCCCAGCTAATTTAAAGGGAAATAAATATGTCAAACACTCAATACGTGGTTATTTGAGATTCCAATCATTTTGGGTTGGGCTGGATTCCTCTGGTTTTTAGTCCAATAATGATCTCTACGTCTTGGCACCTTGCTCAAAAAGCAGATAAAAATAAAAAGAGAAGAAACAAAAGATATAGCTGGAGAATTGCACAAGAAAGGAAGGGAGAATGGGAAGCTTTTTAGGGTTGCCTCACCACCCCCACAATGCCAGATGGCTTCATCCTTGCTGTTGCTTGTTTTAATCTTCAGGTTGCTTGCCTCTCTGTAGTCAGAGTCTGGATAAATGCTTCTGTGTTGTTGCATTTTCAAACGTTTTTTAGCGGTGAAATTATAAATTTGTACAGGTCAGATGGAGTACCAGCAATTCTCCATTTGTGTGGAGGTTGTTTTCCGGGTCATTACATGAATCAGTGGGACGCGGGTGGCGCTGTGGGTAAAACCTCAGCGCCTAGGACTTCCCGATTGTATGGTCGGCGGTTCAAATCCCCGAGGTGGGGTGAGCTCCTGCCATTCGGTCCCAGCTCCTGCCCACCTAGCAGTTCAAAAGCACCCTTAAGTGCAAGTAGATAAATAGGTATCACTTTATAGCGGGAAGGTAAACGGTGTTTCCGTGTGCTGCGCTGGTGCTGGCTCGCCAGTCCAGCTTCGTCATGCTGGCCATGTGACCCGGAACTGTCTTCGGACAGCGCTGGCCCCCGGCCTCTTAAGCGAGATGGGCGCACAACCCTAGAGTCGGACACGACTGGCCCGTACGGACAGGGGTACCTTTACCTTTACATGAATCAGTAGTCTCACGTAAGCCTGTTCCGCCTCTGTTCCACATCCTTTCAGGGCCAAAATGATGCGAGCATCAGCAGTCAAAAGTCCATCAGGCACACACAACATGCTCATCGCCTGTACACTTAATTGCAACCAGCAATGACTTGGGTGAGAGGGACTCATAAAGGCCTGGTGGGCTGACTGCTGATGTTCTAGGTTTGGTAGTAAGTTGACAGTGTACCAAATAACCACAGAAGAGACCAATACCAACTTATCACATTGACAGAAGCGTCTGGGCTTTTCTTCAGCTAGACCTCAGTTCTGCCACCTCTCAGGTTGAGGTATTCATGCGGAGTTCTGCCACCTCTTTTTCTTAAAAAATAGCACTGAAAAGGAGCACTGGGCTGCGTCCTTGGTGGCACATTATTTTGTTAACAACTGAACTGAACAATAGGGATAGGAATTGAGCACTAGGTTATCAGTGAGAAGGAGAGGCAGATCTTTTGAACCAATAAGAATGAGAAACCTCAAGTGAGTTGGAGACAGGGAAAGAGGCGTCCAGCACATCTTTCACTGTAGATGAGAATGTCAGAAGACTCCAATGAACTCCACATTTACTCCTTCATGGATGGTAGTAGGATCCCTCTTGGAGAGCTTTGGGGTCACATTGTCATACATTTAATGAAACAAAATTCTTGTAAAGGGGTCTGCTACCTTCAAATATTATTTATTCTAATGGTATACAATCATTCATTGTACATAAACAGCTCATAGTCTGCTATTTCATGTTTTTGTTGTATATTTTACCATTCAATATTACATCATTTTATATACACTTATGGATTTGGGCTGGGACAGGGGAAAGTAGGCTGCATGTCAGATCATTCTAACCCCTGGATTCAGCAAGTGTTAAAATATAAGCCAGGCTACCTTCCTGTGTTGAGGTGACTGCCTGGGTGATGGGCCATTGGGAGAACAAAGGAAAGGGGGCACTATGTGGGAGAAGAAATGGTTGGAGCCCCTCCATCATCTGGGTGGAAGGACAAAGCCTGCGTTTAGAGTTGAGAGTTTGCAGTGATGTGACCTAGAAAGCAGCAAGCTTTCTTTTATTTTATTTTAAAACAGAAATGTTTGATTTCTGTTTGAATCCAAGGCTACAGCTATGAGAAAAACTAGACCTTTAAGGGTATTTAAGGGTAGGCTCAGGTCATATTTAACTAGACCTTTAAGGGTATTTAAGGGTAGGCTCAGGTCATAAAATATTGTAATATTTATAACATTTATTATTATTATAACTTTCCAGGTCAGAATTTTAAGAGGTCAGTGCTATCATCAGACATATTCATTTCCTCTCTCTCTTCAGACCAAAGGGTTGTATTTTCAGTATGTTTTCCATCTTGTTTACTACTGTAAGCCAAAAGCATATGCAGCTAAGAGGAAATGAAAACTTCTGTTCAGAAAAACACACAAGTGTCTGCCTTCCCTTTAATTATACAAAGAACTATAATTAATGTTCCCTTGTGTCAAAGCACCTCATGGACTTGCAAAGTACACTATCCAAGCTAATGATAAAGACTGTGAAAGGTATTATAACTGAGCCTTTCAAAGTCTGGTGCCCTTGAACTGTTCTGGTTTACAACCCCATCACCTGCAGCCAGGTTTGAATGTTGTGACTTGTGGTGCAAAACATCTGAAGAAGCCTTACAAAAATATACTACCTCCAGCAATCACAGCTAGGCTTAGGAATCAGAAACCTTCAAGGATCCACCAGTATCATAACTATTTTTTTCATCAGTTTTCATATGAGCAGACTAAAAGGTCCATCAAGTCAGACTACTTCAGTCACAAAAGCTGTAATAGTTGTAGGGGCATCTTAATGTATAGGGGAAAATTGTACCAAGGATGGTGGCATTATTGGTCTTGTTGCTGATTCTACTTCCTCACGCAATATGCAAACCTCCCATTGTTAAATGCCACATCCATGATCCATATGCTCCACTTCATCAGTATCACCAGGAAGGAGACCTCATCCTTGGTGGCATAGCCTCTCACAGCATCATCGTCTCCATTGCAATAGCCTTCACCGAAAACCCCCCACCAACATTGCTGGAAGAACTAAAGTAAGAACTGGATAGTTTCACTTCTACATTTTGATTCCTTCTTTGCATACTGCAGAGATTAATTTTAGAGGAAGGGTGGATAAACTGTGGGTGTGCAGTGGTTGCTCGACTCCATCAGCTGCATTAATAATAATGGACATTGTTGGACAGCAACATCTGGAGGGGCACAGTTCTCCACCCTTGTCCTAGAGGCAGAACTACTATTTAGGTAGAAATATATGTGATGTGGGAGAAATGAAGTCTGGAGTATCTCCACTAGAAATTGTTTCCACTTTCCACACTAAATCAAACATTCAGGTATCATATGAAGACATGTAATATTCTTGTGGAAATAACTGCATCACTTTTACTTCAGGGCCCCGAGAGAAAGAAATAAGGACAGAACTTCTACACAGATGATAAAGCCAGCATTTAAAATGTACATCAGGGACATTTTAAAATCTGTTATCCCCTCCCATAGAATTTCCCCCTATATTCCTTTTCTACCATTGTAGGCAATGCAGAGGATCACTTGTAGTGATTCATGTTCAAGAGCTTCCTCCCCTGCAAAAATAAAAAAAACCTTAAATAATTACAGTAATAAATACTACTAATGGGGATGACGTAGAACTAAGCAGCGATAAATTTACAAAGTGTTACAAGCCCTTCTGATAGAAAATGAAACTCTCTTTTTAGTGTGGTACCTAAGAACTACCAGCACATCCTGGCTTTAGAATTTGCAGTGAAGGAGATCAACGAAAACCCTCAGCTCTTACCCAATGTCACTTTAGGCTTCCGCATCTATGACAGCTATTTCAATGCCAAATGGACCTCTCATGCCACAATGTTGCTCATAGCCACACTGGAAACATTTGTCCCCAACTACATCTGTGACATCAAGAACAACTTGATAGCCATCATTGGGGGACTGGACTCCCAAACATCCCTTCATGTGGCAACAATCTTGGATGTCTATAAGGTTCCACAGGTGAGAGAGAGAAATCGCTGACATGTCATGGGAGATATACACATCCAGATAGATTTGGATAAATAAATGAGCAGATTTCATATAATCAGGTGGGCCATGCTAATTAGAGATTCAAGCTAAGAAATAAAGTCTAGGTAGCACATATGTTTTTGCTTCAGATATCCCTTTTGGCCTTGTCATTTCCTGATATATGATAAGAACTGATTGGCATCTGAGTGTAGTTTGTCTTAACAAAATAACATGTGCAGCCAAAAATAAAGGAATGGAATCCCCAAGTGGAAATCGCCCCAGTGAGGCTTATAATACACAAATCGAATATTTAAAAGTTATTGTTGCTTCTGTCTCTTTCTCCTCTTATCAAAACTATGTTTAGCTCATATACGGCCCTGCTCCAGTGATGAATGATAAAACCCCAGGCCTTCTCTTCTACCAGATGACGCCCAAGGAAGCCCACCAGTATAAAGGGATCCTGTCTTTGCTACTGCATTTCCGGTGGATATGGATTGGAATCCTTACTTTCTATGATGAGAATGCAGAAAGATTTGTGCAAACTGTGGTTCCTTTTTTTTCGGAGAATGGCATCTGTTTTGCCTTCATAGAAAGAAGCCACAAATTTACTTATGTCACAGAAATTAACAATATGTTTAAACTGGGGGCAAAAATAAATGACAAAATAAATGATAGCAAAGCCAATGTGGTGTTGGCTTATGGAGAATCATATGCTCTGGCACTTTTTAGGTGGTTGCCTTACCTATCAGAATTGGAACAAAGTTCAAATACCCCAAAAGGTAAAGTGTGGATCATGACAGCCCAGGTGGAGCTCACCTCCTTCGTCTTTCAACGGACTTGGGATACAGAAATACTCCATGGGGTTCTCTCATTCTCAACTCACTCGAATGATCCACCAGGATTTCATCAATTTGCCAAGAGCAAAAACCCTTCCAGTCCAAAAGGAGATGGCTTCATTTTGGACTTCTGGCAAAAGGCATTTGGCTGTGTATTTCCAAATCGATTTGTTGGCAGTGTGAGGGGAGATATTTGCACAGGGCAAGAGAAGCTGGAGAATCTTCCTGGTCCTTTCTTTGAAATGAGCATGACCAGCCACAGCTACAACATCTACAATGCTGTCTATGCTGTGGTCCATGCTTTACATGCCATGTCTACATCCCGAGGCAAACACACACCAGTAATGATCAGGGGAGGAATGAAGTTTCACAAAAAACCGCTGTGGCAGGTACTGAGCTGCACACCCTTCCTCAAAGAGGTTCAAAGCCTTTCATTTTATCCCTTTGGTAATAGTCACTTTTTCTATGCAACCACAGCAGGGGTCAGCAATTTGGGTGCAGTAATGCTCTTGAAATCTTCCGCAGCTTCCCCCAAAGCCACTTCCTCACTTCACTGCCCTTTGGCCACGAGATAGTTGCTTTATCTCTCTTGAAATGCACATAGTGACAAATGGGAACTTCTCCACATGCTTTTCTAGGTTCAAATTCAGCCTACTGGACTTCCCTTCCTATTGACACCATCACTATATTCATTTACACACCTGCTTAAAACCTAATTGTTTGGGAAAGCCTACGCAGTCACATGGGTGTTGACGTATTTTATTCTTTCATTTCTTGCGAATTTTAATTATTTTAAAAGTTTCCTTCAACTATTCATACCAACCTCTCAGATGAGCATGGGGCTGATTTCCCATTTACCTCCAAAGTTGGAGTATCAAAGGAATAATATATCGCATAGCATAGCATATAAAGTCTATAGAGAGCAAAGTGATATATTTTAGACAACAAAATGAAGAGAGCACCCAGTTTTTCCTGGCTGTGTGTGTCCATTTCCTGCGGGAGATCTTAAGAATCTGTAATTTGAAATGAACTTCCAAATGTGATAAATTCTTGGCTTAAATCTCATATATATATCTTGGCTTAAATCTCATATATATATATGATGAAAAGAAAACTGCTTTCCTCCAAGCATGCCATGAAAGTGAACATCATGTTTTTCTCTTGCTGAATTGAAGCCTTTTCTATACTTTCTTTCTCTTTCTATCTAGCTCCATCATTTTCTGAGGGGTATCTCATTTAACAACAGTGCTGGGGATAAGATTTCCTTGGACCAGAATGGGGAGATATTGGCTGGATTTGATATTACCAATTGGATCGTTTTCTCCAACCAATCCTTTCAGAGAGTGAAGGTAGGAGGGGTGGATTCCCTGGCTCCTCCACAGCAAGCGTTGACCATCAATGAGGGAGCCATAAAATGGCACCATTGGTTTAACCAGGTAGGATGCAACCATCAGCCATTTGTGATTTTGAAGACTTTAACATAAGGTACAAAGATATATGCAGATATAATTTCACTGTACATTCTTCGTCAAGGTAATGGCTTAGACTGGCTAGTTAAGACCTATGCATTGCAGGCATAAATATTTCAGTTTTAAAAGGGTCCATGTGTCAATTTTCAGCACTTTCTAAACTGTGGCTCCTTTTACAAAATTCGTATAAAGTTTTGACACATTTGTACACCTCCCAAGGCAGATTATGCATGCCATGTTTCAAGGTTTTAGTATAGCAGGTGTATAACTTGGAGGCTTAATTTGCAGTAGGGAAACCACCACAACCCTTTAATGTCACTTTGGCAGAAAGAGGTTTGCATACAGAGTCGGAGCCCTGATTATAGATGATACTAAAGTCATCACTAAACACAACCCTAACTGCAAAAAACAACAACAATTTATTGGAGTTTGCACATTGAGTCACTGGGAAATGAGTCCAAATAGAATTGAAACAAGCTATTAAATGAATTCCTGAAATGAATGCTGTTGTTCTTTTGCAAATCCATTTAAGGAGGAGCTTAATTGCCACTTTTAGCTTTTCTTTCAGTCCACTTATTTTATATATCTCTTTTCATTTGTGTATTAGACACAGCCTACCTCTGTATGTACTGAGAGCTGCGGCCCTGGTTTTTGCAGGAAAGTGAAGGAGGGGGAAGCATTTTGCTGCTACGATTGCATCCCATGTCCAGAAGGGAAGATTTCAGACCAGGAGGGTAAGAAATTTACTGTCTTTATTTATAGCTTGTTGCCTCTAATCGAGAACATGCATATGAAATCATGCATTCACCAGGGTTCCATTTGACAGTTCATGAAATATTGAGAAATCTTGCTGAAGAGGGAGAGAATTTGTAATTGGTTCCAGTTACACTCAAAGTGAATATGTTAAATGACAAATTGAAGAAGAGAATCCTAAATAGATTTTGATGATACTGAATATATTGTTATGAGTTTGGAGGATCAATCTGGATGAAACTCTGGTTCACACTACAATTCTGAGAACCCAGCCAGATGAGAGAACTATAAATAAATTATCATTATCATTATCATTAGTGATTGTGGATGTTGAATGCTGTTATAAGGAAGAATCCTGTAGCAAGATCCACCAGCTTGAACAGGATTAGTATAAAGTAGATTTTCAGATGAGCCAGGAGGTTTCTGTAGCAGCTGGAAATATGCCATTATATCAGGGTTGAGACCAGGGTGGGGTTAGAATACAATGCATGAAGCTTGGTCACAATACCCGGATACCCAGCCTAAATTAAGCTAATGAAAAGGGTGGTGTAACCCCAACACTATTTTAAAAGCTTGTTTTCTCTCTGATAGCCTTTGAGCTGCTCAACCAGTGGCATCCCTGCTTCAGAATGGATTTTAGATCTGCTGTACTTTATGCCGTCATAATTTATGCCCGGCTTGCATTATGTCATCATCTTGGCATAGTATGGCTACCTAAATGTGATATCTTCCTCTACAGCAGACCTTGAAATCAGTTTTGACACTTTGGCTACAGATGGCTGAATCTGTTTCTAGTTTTTGTTACTTTCACATATTTTTGCCCATAATTAATTTGTTTAATTATATACTTATTCCTGCATTTTCTCTCAAAATGTCTTTAGGAATATATATTTTTTCTTACAAATATTTGAATCTGTGTTTATTTTCTGGTAACATATTTAAACATGTATTTTTATGCTCTTATACTTCAGAAAATTGTGCCGTAATGTTTGGAGAAGTGTGAAATACTTAAATCCAGGAACTAATTGAAAGGTGTTGATTAAGTTTTCAAATGCTGAAATTTGCAAAGACTGAATTACACAAATACAGTGGTATTTGGTTACGTCTGCTTCATGTTATGTTCAGGGTTACTTCCAAATTCGCCACTCACGCATGCGCAGAAGCGTGTGCTTCTACCGAGCCGTGTGTGTGCAGACGCGCTGCTGCAGGTTGTGCTCTTTTCATGTTGCAAACGGGCCTGTGGAACGGATCCCATTCGCAACCAGAGGTACCAGTGTACTCCTTAATTAGGGAGTAAGTAACTGTTAGCAACTAGATCTGTGACAGCTTAATTTGAGTTGGCTTCTAGCCAGAGAACAAGAAGTGTCTCTGTGGCCTTGCATTTTGCCTCAATCAGTATTTTACATCCAATATGTGAGAAGGACAAGGTTCCATCATTTTCAATTTCCATTGTTCAGAACTCCTTGTATCCTTTTTTAATCATTTTAATTATGTATTTACAAGCAGTGGCATGTTGCTCATATTTTTCAGATTAAGAACCATGCTTTTCTTTCTCAGACGTGAATGACTGCTACGAATGTGAAGATGAAAACTATCCAAGCAAAAATAAGACTATATGTATTCCTAAGCATACAACCTTCTTGTCCTTTGAAGAACCTCTGGGCCTCAGCTTAGCCTGTTCTGCTCTTTCCTTTGCTTTCATTACAGCATTGGTATTAGAAATATTTGTGAAGCACAGGGACACTCCTATTGTGAAAGCCAACAACCGGGACCTCACCTACACTCTGCTCATCTCCCTCTTGCTTTGCTTCCTTTCCGCATTACTGTTCATCGGATATCCTGACAAGGTGACATGTCTCCTCCGACAAACTGCTTTTGGCATCATCTTCTCAGTGGCTGTTTCTTGTGTGCTGGCAAAAACCATCACTGTGGTTCTGGCTTTCATGGCCACAAAACCAGGATCCAGGATGAGGAAGTGGGTGGGGAAGGGACTGGCAATCACTATTGTCCTTTCCTGCTCCCTTATCCAAGCACTCATCTGCACTGCATGGCTGGTGATCTCTCCTCCATTCCCTAATCTTGACATGAAGTCAGTGGCTGAAGAAATTGTACTGGAGTGCAATGAGGGGACTGTGACCTTCTTTTACTGTGTCTTGGGCTACATGGGCTTCCTAGCTATTGTCAGTTTCACTGTGGCCTTCCTTGCTCGGAAATTACCTGACAGTTTCAATGAAGCCAAGTTCATCACTTTCAGCATGCTGGTCTTTTGCAGTGTTTGGTTATCCTTTGTTCCTTCCTACATGAGCACAAAGGGGAAATACATGGTGGCTGTGGAGGTCTTCTCTATCTTAGCCTCCAGTGGTGGGTTGTTGGGTTGCATCTTTTGCCCAAAATGTTACATTATTTTGCTGAGGCCTGAGCTGAACAATAGGGATCACCTAATAAGAAGAAATTGCTAAAGAAATCAAAGGTCTGTGTAATTGGCTATAATATCTAGTTCAGGGATTTGTATGTATCCCGGAAAAGAAGCACCCAGAAACCTCCTCAATCTCCCATATTCAGCTATTCCAGATCCACTGTATCATTTCCTCTGCTCACTGTGATGTCTCCATTTGTTATTCTTATACGTCGGCACTGTACTATTATGCCCTCATACACTTTCCCACAACTTTTTAGGAGCAGAGATGAAAATTTTTACCCTGTTGTCAGGGGCTCAGGAACAGAGGCACAGGGGAGGAAGGAAATGGAGAGCGAAGGGGAAGAATCTGAGGGCAGCGTAGGGGAGTATGTCAGTGACCCGAGAGATTCCATGAGCTTCTCCAGCGAATCGGAAGATTCCCAGAAGGAGGCGCCGATGGTCAGGGCAAGGGGGGTCCCAGGGGGGAAGCACCAGAAACAAGGGGCCAGCGGGGACTCCCAAAGCAGCAGCGGGAGATCAGGACCAGCTTCCCCACCAGAGCGTAGTGGGGGGGAAGAGTCCCATGTGTCAGGGCCAGCGTCTCCTCCAGCAGGGAGAGAAGATGAGTCAGGGCTGACCACGCCTCTATCGGAGAGTGGGGGAACGGAGGGGAGGTCAGGTCCAACTAGCCCCCCCCCCCCCGAAGGGGGAAGCAGTGACAGGAGCAGTGTAACGGTCAGGAGGAAGGTTGCCGGCTGGGCGCGCGCGCCAAGTTCGAATGTACAGGCGTGTGGGACAGCAGAAAACCTGGATTGGGAACCAGGTCCTAAAGCCCGCCGGAGGCAGGGGGAAGACTCAGGGGACTCAGCGTCAGAAGAGTCTAGGAAGGGCAAGACGCCAGCGGACAGGCGGAACCAGAGGAGGAAAGAACAAAGGAAGAGGTGGAGCAAGGCCAGAGTCTTAAACTGGTGTCTGGGGGGAGGAGATTCAGACGGAGCTTCAGCGGTCTAGAGTTTCAGACGTAGAGCTGCGCGCTGCGGCTGTGAAAGCGAAACTGAACTTCAATAAAGACTTTTGTATATAACAACGAACCGGCGTTGGTCCTTTGTGAGCTGGGACCTCGGGCAGCTCTGACACCTGTCTAATCCAATATTATTTTTCTTCAAGAGCTGTGTTAATATATATCCTGCCCCACTCTAAAGGAGGTTTTTAAAGATAAGACTGCGGAAATCCTTTAAAAACTGAACATAAAAACAGTCACAAAATATAAGCACTGAGTACTAAAAGGTTTATGAAGGACAGGTTCTTTCTCTCCCCCCCCCCCTTGCTTTCTTCAATTCTTTAAATCTGACAGATAATCTGGATAAAAATGTTTTGCAACGACATCCACACCACGGAAGACTCAGGACACCACTTTAAGTTTGGGGAAAGGTTGTATTCATTATAAATAACATTAAAGAAACCTAATTAAAGCAGTTTGCCCTTAGCAGCCAAGATAAACAATTACCATGACCACATCAAAGAAAGGGAAAGTGCTAAATAAATTCCCAGCCAATTTAAAGCGAAATAAATTTGTCAAACTCTCAAAACGTAGTTATTTGAGATTGAAATCATTTTGGGTTGGGCTGGATTCCTCTGGTTTTTAGTCCAATAATGATCTCTACGTCTTGGCACCTTGCTCAAAAAGCAGATAAAAATAAAAAGAGAAGAAACAAAAGATAAAGCTGGAAAATTGCACAAGGAAGGAAGGGAGAATGGGAAGATTTTTAGGGTTGCCTCACCACCCCCACAATGCCAGATGGCTTCGTTCTTGCTGTTGCTTGTTTTAATCTTCAGGTTGGTTGCCTCTCTGTAGTCAGAGTCTGGATAAATGCTTCCGTCTTTCACTGTAGATGCAGAAGGTCAGGGGATTCCAATGAACTCCACATTTACACCTTCATGCATGGTAATAGGATCCCTCTTGGAGACCTTTGGGGTCACATTATGATACATTTAATGAAACAAAATTCTTATACAGGGATCTGCTACCTTCAAATATTACTCTTTCTAATGGTATGCAATCATTCATTGTACATATATAGCTCATAGTCCGCTATTTCATGTTCTTGTTGTTTTATATTCTACCATTCAATATTACATCATTTTATATACTGTTATGAATTTGGGCTGGGACAGGGGAAAGTAAGCTGTATGTCAGATCCTTCTAACCCCTGGATTCAGCAAGTGTTAAAATATAAGCTAGGCTACATTTCTGTGTTGAGGTGCTTGCTTGGGTGATGAGCCATTAGGAGAACAAGGGAAAGGGGGCTATATGTGAGACACAAAATGGTTGGGGTCCTTCCCTCAATTGGTTGGAAGGTGAAACAGTGTTGAGAGTTTGCACTAATTTAACCTAGAAATAAAGCAGCAAGCTGGAGAAAGAGTCAGAAAGCAATGTTTGAATGTCTGTTTGAATCCAAGGCTACTGCTAAGGGGGGGGAGCTAAAGACTTTAGGGGTGTTAATGCTGTGAACCACCACCACCTCACCCCACATCATAGGGTCAAGGCATATATAATGTGTAAATATGCCATATATCCTAAAAATGCCAAACTTTCTGCTGTGCCTCATTCCAAAAGTAAACACAAAGCCCGGCTGAGCGCCTCAAGACCCAGGAATCTAACACCACTTAGAGACTGCGGTGCTGGTCAAGAATCAGTATGTCTGCCCTTAAATTATATTCCTACCTGTAAAGCACAAAGAAAGGGAAAGGGGAAAATAATAATGTATTTGTGGCACAACTGTTTAAATTTTGACAAAGAAAAAAGTGACAAAAGGAGAGAAGGGACGGGAGATACAAGAAGAACAAGAGGTAAAACTGAGCACTGCCAACGAAATAAAAATTTGTTCCATGTTGGAGAAGACATTATTCATGCCTCATTTTATTTACTCCAGCACAAAACCTGGTGCCTTTCTCCCATCTATTGGCAAGACAAGTTGACCAACTAATGTGATTGCTCTTCTTTCTGTGAACTTTGAATGCAATGTAAGTAGTGTAAGGCCCCCCACTCCATTGGTTTCTTCTTTCCAGGTCAGAATTTCAAGAGGCCAGTGCTATGATCAAACATTTTCATTTCCTCCCGCTGTTGGGTTGTGTTTCCAGAATTTTTTTTCCTTCTTGTTCAAAATATTATGCAGCAAAGAGGAAATAAAAACTGTAAAGAAAGATACACAAGTGACTATCTTCCTCCCTTTAATTATCAAAAGAACTGTAATTAATGTTCCCTCTTGTCAAACCACCTGATGGATTTGCACAGTACACTTTTGAAGCTAATGAGAAAGTCTGTGAAAGGTACCATAATTGAATCTTTCAAAGTCTGGTGCCCTTGGACTGTTTTGGATCACAACCCTAACACCTGCAGCCTGTTTTGAATGTTGTGAAATATAGTTCAAAATATCTGAAGGATATAAGGATATAAGGTTGGAGAACCTGATAAAAATATATTACCTCCAGCAATCACAGCTGGACTTAGGAATCAGAAACCAGCAAGGATCCATCAGTGTCATCACTATTCCACAGCCACCCACCCTGTTTTCACACTCTGGGTTTCAGAAATATGAGCAGACTAAAAGGACAACTACTTCAGTCTTAAAAGCTGTAAGAGTATTAGGGTTATCTTAGTGCATAGGGAAAAAATATACCTAGGATGGTGGCATTATTGGTTTTCTTGCTGATTACACTTCCTAATGCAATATGCAAACCTCTCATTGTTAAATGCCACATCCATGATCCACACACTCCACTTCATCAGTATCATCGGGAAGGAGACCTCATCATTGGTGGCATAGCCTCTCACAGCATCATCCTCTCTACTTCAATAGCCTTCACCGAAAAACCCCCACCAACATTGCGGGAAGAGCTACAGTAAGACCTGGATAATTTCTCTTCTGCATTTTGATTCCTTCTTTGGACAATGGAGCGATCAGTTTTAGAAGAAGAGTGGCTAAACTGTGGCCTTCAGTGGTTGTTGCACTCCATTAGTTCTATCAATAATAATTGACATAGTAGTACAACAACATCTGGAGGGCCACTGTTCTCCACCCTTGACCTAGAGGCAAAACTACTGTTTGGGTCGAAAGAGATGTGATGTAGGAGAAATGTGGTCAGGAGGATCTCCACTAGTTTTTTTTAAAAAAATGTTTCCACTTTCCCCACTGAATTAAGCATTCAGGTATAGTATGAAGACATGTAATATTGTTGTGGAAATAACTGCATCACTTTTGCTTCAGGACCCCAGGAGAGTGAAATAAGGGAAGGACTTCTACACAGATTATGAAGCCTGCATTAAAAATGTACATCATGGACATTTTAAAATCTGTGATCCACTCCCATAGAATTTCCCCCTACATTCCTTTTCTACCATTCTAGGCAAGGACGAGGATCACTTGTAGTGATAACTGTTCAAGAGTTTCCTCACATGCAAAAAAACTTACATAATGGCAGTAATAAATAATACTAAGGAGGAAGATGCAGAAATTAGTTGTGATAAATTTAGAAAGTGTTACATGGCCTTGTGATAGAAAATGAAACTTTCTTTTTAGAGTGGTGCCTAAGAATTACCAGCACATCCTGGCTTTAGAATTCGCAGTGAAGGAGATCAATGAAAACCCTCAGCTCTTACCCAACGTCACTTTAGGCTTCCGCATCTATGACAGCTATTTCAATGCCAAATGGACCTCTCATGCCACAATGTTACTCATATCCACACTGGAAACATTTGTCCCCAACTACATCTGTGATTTCAAGAACAACTTGATAGCCATCATTGGGGGCCTGGACTCCCAAACTTCTCTTCATGTGGCAACAATCTTGGATATCTATAAGGTTCCGCAGGTGAGATATGTATCTTTCTGACATGTCATGGAAACTAGGCACATCCTGATAGATTTGTATAATAAAATGTGCACATTTCAAATAATGAGGTCAGCCTTGCTAATGACAGATCCAAGCAACAAATAAAGTATTGATAACACTTAGGTTATTGCTTCAGATGTCTCTTTGGACCTAGCCAATGCCTGATATATGATAACAGCTGAGTGGCAGATGAGTGTTGCTTGGTTAAACAAAAATAGCATGGGCAGCCCAAATAGTGAGGGTATGGAAGGCCCAATTGGAAATTGTTCCAATGTTGCCAGAAATACATAAATCTAATATTTAAAAGTTATTGTTGCTTCTGTCTCTTTCTCCTCCTACCATAACTATGTTTAGCTCATATATGGCCCTGCTCCAGTGATGAATGATAAAACCCCAGGCCATTTTTTCTACCAGATGGTGCCCAAGGAAGCCCACCAGTATAATGGGATCCTGTCTTTGCTTCTGCATTTTAGGTGGATATGGATTGGGATTTTTACTTTCTATGATGAGAATGCAGAAAGATTTGTGCAAACTGTGGTTCCACTTTTTTCCCAGAGTGGCATTTGTTTTGCCTTCATCGAAAGAAATCACAAATTTACTTATATTACAGAAATTTATGATATGTTGAAAATAGGTGCAAAAATACATGACAAAATAAATGATAGCAAAGCCAATGTAGTTTTGGTTTATGGACCATCATATACTCTGGCACGATTTAGATGGTTGCCTTACTTATCAGAACTGGAACAAAGTTCAAATAAACCAAAAGGTAAAGTGTGGATCATGACAGCCCAGGTGGAGCTCAATTCTTTTGTCTTTCAACGGACTTGGGATACAGAAATACTCCATGGGGTTCTCTCATTCACAACTCACTCAAATGATCCACCAGGATTTCATCAATTTGTCGAGAGCAAAAAGCCTTCCAGCCCAAAAGGAGATGGTTTCATTTTGGACTTCTGGCAACAGGCATTTGGCTGTGTATTTCCAAATCGAGTGGTTGGCAGTGTGAAGGGGGATATTTGCACTGGGCAAGAGAAGCTGGAGAATCTTCCTGGTCCTTTCTTTGAAATGAGCATGACCAGCCACAGCTACAACATCTACAATGCTATCTATGCTGTGGCCCATGCTTTACATGCCATGTCTACATCCCAAGGCAAACACAGACCAGTAATGATCAGGGAAGGAATGAAGTTTCAGAATCAACATCTGTGGCAGGTAATGGGCTGAAAACAATTGATGAAAGGGTTTCAAAAGCCTTTGATTTTATACATTTGGTAATAGTCACTTTTCCTATGGAACCACAGCAAGGGTCAGCAATGTGGGTGCAGCAATGGTCTTGAAATCTTCCCCAGGTGCCCCCAAAGGTAATTCTTCAATTCACTTTCCTTTGGCCATGGTATTGTTGCTTTATCTCCTTGAAATGCACATAGTGACAAATGGGAACTTCTCCACATGCTTTTCTAGGTTCATATTCAGCCTACTGGATTTCCCTGCCTATTGACATTAGACAGACACCTTCACTGTATTCATTTAGGCACCTGCTTCAAACATTTTTCCTTAGGCAAACCTGACCAGTTACTGGGTTTTTACATTATTTAATCTTTTCATTTTACCGCTAATTTTTATTATTTTAAATCTTTTAAATTTCTTCTTTTAAGCTAATTGAATTTAAAGTAGAAATAATGAAAGAGAACAAAAGAAAATGAATTCTATCCAAGCATGACATAGCCATCTTCCATACTTTGCTTTTATCACCATTCCTTCTTCAACCTCTTGCTTCAACTACTCATACCAACCTTTTCAATGAGAATGGGGCTGATTCCCCATTGACCTCTAAAGTTGGAGTATCAAAGGTATAATATATCACATAGCATAGCATAGCATAGCATAGCATAGCATAGCATAGCATAGCATAGCATATAGTGTCTATAGATCACCCACTTTCTGTTAATAAAGTTTTTGTGGCTGTGTGGGCAATTGTTGTTGGAGATCTTAAAAATTAGTTATTTGAAATGAACTTCCAAATGTGAGAAAAGCTCGGCTTAGATCTTATAGATAGAAAGAGGGAAAAGAAAGCTGCTTTCCTCCACAGTGGATATTTGGAAACCTGACATGAAAGTGAACATCATGATTGTCTCTTGCAGCTCCATCATTTTCTGAGGGGTATCTCATTTAACAACAGCGCTGGGGATAAGGTTTCCTTGGACCAGAATTGGGAGATACTAGCTGGATTTGATATTACCAATTGGATTGTTTCCTCCAACCAATCCTTTCAGAGGGTGAAGGTAGGAGGGGTGGATTCCCTGGCTCCTCCACAGCAAGCGTTGACCATCAATGATGGAGCCATCAAATGGCACCATTGGTTTAACCAGGTAGGATGCGAACATCAGCCATTTGTTAATGTGAACACTTTAACATAACATACAAAGATAATTTCATTGTACATTGTTCAGTCTTTATAAAATTGGATTATAGTTGGCACAAGCTTTGAATTAATGTTATAAGCTAAATGCACAGCCTCCTTATTCATTTCCCGCTACACTGAAATAAATATATTGAATGACACCTTGAAGAAGTGAATTCTAAAAAGATTTTGATGATGTTGAATATATTGTTATGTGTTTGCATGATCAGTCTGGATGAAACCCAGGTTTCCCTTCCAATCCTTGGAACCTTCATCAGTGAGGGGAGAACACACAAAGGGAAGCTTGCTGAACTAGTTTAAATAAAGCCATATATACTAAAGACTCTGTGGTCTCCACTAACCTTCATTAAAAGGAAATCAAACCCCTGGGTAAACCACCACATATTTTCTCACTTCTGAAGACAGGTGCGGCATATAACAATACAATCTGAATTTGCACCCAATGGGCCAACCTAGATAGTACCTGAAATACATGTGATATTAACTTTTACATAAGCCACATAACAGAAGCCTAATCCCTATAACCTTTGGTTGTTATATTCCTAGACAGAACTAAAGAACAAAGCAAGGTCTTTGGTGTTTAAAATATTCTGTACAATATCATCAAGGAAGTCCTTACCCATTTCTGTACCTTGGTAACCCCCTCGCAGTTACTAAGAATCATTTCCCATGGCATCTGAATGCTCCCCCTTTGATACATATATTAAGCCCACAGTTGAATAGCTCAGTGGAGCGTTAACTGCCATCACTTACTGGATATAGAGCAGTGGTTCTCTATTATGGCTTTGCTAAAAGACCCAAGGCAAGGATGTAGGATTATATAATGCAGATTGCACAAAAACACATTGGATCAAACCACATGGGCTGACGGTTGAAACAGAATATTTTGTTTAATTAGCAAGATATTTTTAAAAATAGAATTCTATTAAGATAAACAAAAAAAGGTTGCTTCTAGCTCCCATATTCTTTAATCATGTAGTTGAATTGTTCCTTTTTCAGAATTCATAAATAAAAATTATTTTAAAAAGTAAAGCATTAGTCATGTTTCAACCACTCTGACCTTTGTCAGCCAATGAAAGTGTCTCATTCTTGAGAAGCCTGAATAAATGGCATCAGTGATTTTCACCAAAATTAGAAAACAGACCTATGGCTTGCAGGTATAAATATTTCAGTAAAAAAGGGTACATATGCCAATTTTCAGCACTTTCTAAACTGTGGCTCCTTTTACAAAAATCATATAAAGTTTTGACACATTTGACAGATTATGCAGGCCATGATTCAAGATTTTAGAATAGCAAGTGTACAGGTGAAACTCGGAAAATTAGAATATTGTGGAAAAGTTCATACCGATTAGGTATGAACACTTCTTTCTGCCACAGTGACATTAAGGGGTTGTGGTGGTGTTGCTTAATGCAAAGTAAGCCTCAGAGGTATACAGGTGAAACTCGGAAAATTGTGGAAAAGTTCATTAATTTCAATAATTCAATGGGAAATGTCAGAAAATGAGTCCAAATGGAACTGAAACAACCTATTAAATGAATTGCTGAAATGAATGTTGTTGTTCTTCTCTGAATCTGTTTTAAGAAAGAGCTTCACCTCTCCTTTTAGTTTTTCTTTGAGTCCACTTATTATATATATATATTATTTGTGTAATAGACACAGCCTGACTCTGTATGTAGTGAGAGCTGCCACCCTGGTTTTTGTAGGAAGGTGAAGGAGGGGGAAGCATTTTGCTGCTACAATTGCATCCCATGTCCAGAAGGAAAGATTTCAGACAAAGAGGGTAAGAAATTTACTGCATATATTTATAGCTTGTCACCTCTAATCAAGAACATGCATATAAAGTCATACATTCACCAAGGTTCATTTTTACAGCTTATAAAATATTGAGAAATCTAGCTGAAGAGGGACCTAATGAAAGTATGTGTGTGGGGGATAATTTGTGATGGTGGATGTTCAATGCTATTAATAAGAAAGAATCCTATAGCAAGATCAATGAGGTTGAAGGGGATAGTGTAAAGTGGATTTTCAGATGAGCCAGGTGGTTTCTGTAACAGCTGGAAATATGTGATTCTACCTCCCTTATGCAGGCTGAGCTGAGTGATATGCTTCTTAAACTGGTGTAAGCATTGAAAGGGGAATATTACAGGGGTGAAACTGGAGGGGGGTGTACTTAGGATACATGAAGCCCATGATTCAGCTTGGTCACATGATCTGGAAACCCCATCTAAATTAAGTCAATGAAAAGGGTGGTGTAACCCTATTTTTAAAAGCTTGTTTTCTCTCCTACAGACTTTAGCTAGCTCAACCAGTGGCATCCCTGCTTCAGAATGCATTTTGGATCTGGTGTACTTTATGCCAGCTTAATTTATGCTTGGCTTCAATTGCGCCATCATCTTGGCAGAGTATTGCTCCCTAATTGTGGTGTCTTCTTCTACAGCAGTCCTTGAAATCTGTTTTGATACTTTGGCTAGAGATGGCAGAATCTGTTTCTAATCCTTGTTACTTTCACAGATTTTAGCCCATAATTCATTTGATTTATTATAAACTTAACCCTGCATTTTTTCTCAAAATATTTTTAGATAGAAAGATGATAGATAGATAGATAGATAGATAGATAGATAGATAGATAGATAACACAAGTAATATTTGAATGTGCATTTACTTTCTGGTAACTATGTATTTAGATGCCCTTAAACTTCAGAGAATTGTGTCATAATGTCTGAAAAACCAAAATGTAGAAAACAGTTGAAAGGTATTGATTAGGTCATCTAATGTAGAAATTTACAGACTGAATAACACAATCACCCCTTAATAAAAGAGTAAGTAAATATGAGCAACCAGAACAGTGACAGGTTAATTTGAGTTGGCTTCTAGCCAGAGAACAGGAAGGGTCTCTGTGGCCTTGCATTTTGCCTCAATCAGTGTTTTACATCCAATAGGCGAGAAGGGCATGGTTCCATCATTTTCAATCTCCATTGTTCAAAACTTCTTGTATGCTTTTTAAATCATCTTAATTACGTATTTACAAGGAGTGGCATGTTGGTCATATTTTTCAGATTAAGAACCATGTTTTTCTTTCTCAGACATGAATGACTGCTATGAATGTGAAGATGAAAAGTATCCAAACACAAATAAGACTATATGTATTCCCAAGCGTGCAACTTTCTTGTCCTTTGAAGAACCTCTGGGCCTCAGCTTAGCCTGTTCTGCTCTTTCCTTTGCTTTCATTACAGCACTGGTACTAGAAATATTTGTGAAGCACAGGGACACTCCTGTTGTGAAAGCCAACAACCGGGACCTCACCTACGCTCTGCTCATCTCCCTCTTGCTTTGCTTCCTTTCTGCATTACTGTTCATTGGATATCCTGACAAGGTGACGTGTCTCCTTCGACAAACTGCTTTTGGCATCATCTTCTCCGTGGCTGTTTCTTGTGTGCTGGCAAAAACCATCACTGTGGTTCTGGCTTTCATGGCCACAAAACCAGGATCCCGGATGAGGAAATGGGTGGGGAAAGGACTGGCAAACTCTATTGTCTTCTCCTGCTCCCTTATCCAAGCACTCATCTGCACTGTATGGCTGATGATCTCTCCTCCATTCCCTAATGCTGACATGAAGTCAGTGGCTGAAGAAATTGTACTGGAGTGCAATGAGGGGACGGTGACCTTCTTTTGCTGTGTCTTGGGCTACATGGGGTTCCTAGCGTTTGTCAGTTTCACTGTGGCTTTCCTTGCCTGGAAATTACCTGACAGTTTCAACGAAGCCAAGTTCATCACTTTCAGCATGTTGGTCTTTTGCAGTGTTTGGTTGTCCTTTGTTCCTACCTACATGACCACAAAGGGGAAATACATGGTGGCTGTGGAGATCTTCTCTATCTTAGCCTCCAGTGGTGGGTTGTTGGGTTGCATCTTTTGCCCAAAATGTTACATTATTTTGCTGAGGCCTGAGCTGAACAATAGGGATCACCTAATAAGAAGAAAATGCTAAAGAAATCAAAATATATGTCACTGGTTATAATATCTAAAAGAGCAATTTGTATGTATCCCTGAAAAGAAGCACCCAGAATCCTTTTCAGGCTACCGCCCCATAGGATTTAACCCAAATTTTTAAAACACCAATTAAATATTAGCCCTGCTGCCAAATTGCTCTCAGGATGGATGCAAAGGAAAGGCAGTTGTTCCCTCAGCCAGCGCAATCCAGGGCCCCAGATTTCACCCCCAGATAAGGTAGGCTGTGCAGATGCCCACTGAGCATATATATTGCCTGAAAATCTCCACTACCTGAACTGTTTCAAAGCACTGAGTCCCCAGCAAGTCCAGATCTACTTTATATTTTCCTCTGCTCACTGTGAACTCTGCATTTGTTGTTCTTAGGCCTCGTCACTGTACTATTCCACTCTCATGCTCTTCCCCGCAACTAATTCGCACTAGAGATGAACAGTTTTACACTGTCTAATCCCATTTTATTTTTCTGTGTGTAGCTGTGTTAATATACATCCCTGTATCATCCCAGTGGGAGATTTCGTAGGATTGGTCTGTAGAAACTGTAAATCCTTACAGTTTCAAAACTGTAAATCTGACCGTTAGTCTGGGTAAAAATGCTTTGCCGTCACACCCACACCAAGGAAGACTCAAAACACCAGTTTAAATTGGAGGAAAGGTTATATTCATTAAATATGACATTGGTTAAAACATAACCATTTGCCCTTAGCAGCAGAAAAAGACAATTACCATAAGTTGGCAGGATACCAACAAAATGTCAGAAGAGCCTGGGCTAGTTCCTATTCTCGCTGTTGTGTATTTTAGCCTTTAATATTTTGTATACTGTTACGAATTTGGGCTAGAACGGAGGGAAGTAGGCTGCATATCAGATCCTTCTAATCCCTGGATCCAGAATGTGTTAAAATATAAACCAGGCTGGAGGGAATCAAAGAACGAAGAAGTTTGTAGTTGGCTCAACAAATTCAATTAAGACTTTAAGGAGCAGTCTGCAAGTATCCTGACTTTGTACCCCACTCTGAGACATTTTGGAAAAGCGGACAAGTGGTTTTAATATGCTTCCCCTGGAAAAGCACTGGATCTCCCCAGTGTTTACTGGGAAACTATACTAAATGGCCTTGGACCTAATTAGGACTAAAAGGGGAAACTGGCTGTTCTGAAAACAATGAAAGGTCGGGGAGCAGGGCAGCTAGAGATGAGCTCAGATGCTGAGACTATGGCATTTTTGTATCAATGGAAAAGAGAATTTATGGAAAGTATGCCTAAGATATCAGAGACCATCACTACCAGACTGGATCAATATAATAACACAGTGGAAGAACCAGAAACAAGAAGAATAAACTCAGGGGAGACTCTTGGGCAAAGACAGGAGGGAAAGTTTGTAAAGGGGGAAAGCCTAATGGTTGTGAAGAAAACCCGAAAGGAAAGAGTAGGGGGGTTGAAGGGCAGTATACACAGAAAGCATTTGAGGAAGTGTTGGTAAAATCACCAGTGTCAAGACAAGAGGAGCTGAAATTGGAAAGGGCCCTAATTGGTAGCAGCTTCTTGAGGAGCCTTAAATAAGACTACAGTGGTACCTCGGGTTACATACGCTTCAGGTTACATACGCTTCAGGTTACAGACTCTGCTAATCCAGAAATAGTGCTTCAGGTTAAGAACTTTGCTTCAGGATGAGAATAGAAATTGTGCTCTGGCGGCGTGGCAGCAGCAGGAGGCCCCATTAGCTAAAGTGGTGCTTCAGGTTAAGAACAGTTTCAGGTTAAGTACGGACCTCCGGAATGAATTAAGTACTTAACCCAAGGTACCACTGTACAGGCAGGAAATAGCTAGAGAAATTTTGGTGAAATCACAACCATGGAGACAGAGAGAAACTTGGAAGTAGGAGGGCTGAAATTGGGAATTGCCCTAATAGGAAGCCCCTTCCAGAGGAGATTTAAATATGCCAAAGTAAGAAAAAAGAATGGGTAATAGTCTGGGGATTTTTATGTATTTATTTATTAGGTATTAGCAGTTGTAAATAAATCGGGATATCAGCAGACATGGATTAAACGCTTGCAAAAGGCAACGATAAGGATAATTTTAAAAGGGGAAATAGTCTGTAAGCATCGATGTGTAATATAAAAAGCGGTTTGAATGTTTAAAATATCTGTGCAGTATATCATAAGTTTAATTGTTTAGTAGTGGGGAAATTGGGTAAAGGGATCTGGAATGTAAGATGATTTGGTTTATTTAAAGAAATAGAAGAGGGGGTGGAGGGAAGTTTGGGGGGAGGGGTAAAAACATTTTATTTTTTGTTATTTTTTAATGTTAATGTGATATGTGCAGAGTAACTTCGTATTGATATAATGTGGCATATACTGGATTTTTGTAACTGAAAATTAATAAAAATTATTTTACCAAAAGAAAAAAAAGCCAGGCTTTCTTCCTGTGTTGAGGTGATTGCCTGGGTGATGGGCCATTAGGAGAATAAAGGAAAGGGGGCTCTATATGAGACACAAAATGGTTGGGGCACTTCCCTCAATTCGTTGGAAGGCCAAAGCCTGGGTTTATAGTTGAGAGTTTGAAGTGATGTGACCTAGAAATAAAGCAACAAACTGGAGAAAGAGTCCGAGAGCAATGTTTTATGTCTGTCTGAATGCAAAGGCTCCTAGTATGAGGAAAAACCTGACATTTAAGGGGTGCTAATGCTGTGAACCCCTCCATCGTAGGCTCAGATCGTATATACAGTGGTACCTCGGGTTAAGAACCTAATTCGTTCTGGAGGTCCGTTTTTAACCTGAAACTGTTCTTAACCTGAAGCACCACTTTAGCTATTGGGGCCTCCCGCTGCCACTGGCACCACCACATGATTTCTGTTCTCATCCTGAAGCAAAGTTCTTAAACCCGAGGTACTATTTCTGGGTTAGCGGAGTGTGTAACCTGAAGCGTATGTAACCCGAGGTACCACTGTATGTGTAAATAAACCATAGATACTAAAAACGTGACAGTCTCTGCTGTGCCTCATTCCAAAATGAAACACAAAGCCTGGCTGAGCGCCTGAAGACCTGGGAATCTAACACCACTTAGAGACTGGGGTGAAGTACAAGAATAAATATCTGTCCTTAAATTATATTCCCATTTGTAGAGCACAAAGTAAGGGAAGGGAAAATATAATAACCTTTCTGGCACAACTTTTTACAGTTTGGCAAGGGAAATAGTGACAAAATGAGTTAAGAAAAAAGAGACACAAGAATAAAAAGAGGTAATATTGAGCACTGCCAATGAACTAGAAATGTCTTTTCATGCTTGCAGAAACATAAACCATGTCTGATTTTAGTTTCTCATGCATAAATGCTGGTGCCATCTGTTGGCAAAACATGGAGACCAACTAATGCAATTGTTGTTCATTCATGTGAACTTTGAATGCATTGTAAGTAGTTGAAAGCTCCTCCTCTCCCTAGGTTTCTTCTTTCCATGTCAGAATTTCAATAAGCTGGTGCTATGATTTCCAGTGGGTTTTTTTCTTGTTGTTTATCATTGTAAGTCAAAATCTCATGCAGCTAAGAGGAAATAAAAACTTCTGTTAAGAAAGACACACAAGTGACTATCTTCCCATTAATTATCAAAAGAACTGTAATTAAAGTTCCCACTTGCCAAAGCACCTCATCGTATTGCACAGTACACTATCAAAGCTAATGAGAAAGTCTGTGAAAGGTACTATAATTGAGCCTATAAAAGATTGGTGCCCTTGGACTGTTTGGGATTACAACCCCAGCACCTGCAGCCAGCTTAGAATGCAGTGAATCGTGGCCCAAAACATCTGAGGGATAAAATGTTGGAGGAGGCTAATAAAAATATATTACCTCCAGAAATCACAGCTGGAGGTGGGAATCAGAAACCAGCAAAGATCCATCAGTGTCATCACTATCCTCCCCCACCTCCCCCAGTTTTCACATTCTGGATTTCAGATATATGAGCAGACTAAAAGGCCAACTAGGTCAGACTACTTCAGTCTCATAAACTGTAACAGTACTAGGGGGATCTTAGTTTATAGAGGGAAATTTTACCAAGGATGGTGGCATTAATGGTCTTGCTGCTAATTCTACTTCCTCATGCAATATGCAAACCTGCCATTGTTAAATGCCATGTCCATGATCCATACAATCCACTTCATCGGTATCACTGGGAAGGAGACCTCATCATTGGTGGCATAGCCTCTCACAGCATCATCGTCTCCATTTCAATAGCCTTCACCGAAAAACCCCCACCAACATTGCTGGAAGAGCTAAAGTAAGAACTGGATAATTTCATTTCTGCATTTTGATTGCTTATTTCGACACTGAAGTGATGAGATTTAGAGGAAGGGTGACTAAACTGTGGGCTTGCACTGGTTGTTGGACTCCATCAGTTCCAGCCAGTAATGTCCAGCAATAATAATAGACATTGTAGTAGAGCAACATCTGGAGGGCCACAGTTCTCCACCCTTGTCCTAGAGGCAGAATTACTGTTTGGGTGAAAAGAGATGTGATGTGGGAGAAATGTAAAATGTACCAGTATATCAGGGATATTTTAAAGTCTGTGCTCCCCTCCCATATAATTTTCCCCTACATCCCTTAGGAGCAAGTAGGAGGATTCCTTGTAGTGATATCTGCTCAAGAGTTTCCTCCCCTGTAAAAAAAAAGTTAAATAATTGCAGTAATAAATAATACTAATGAGAATGAGGTTCAACTGAGTTGTAAAACTCTGTCTTTAGTGTGGTGCCTAAGAATTACCAGCACATTCTGGCCTTGCAATTTGCAGTAAAGGAGATCAACGAAAACCCTCAGCTCTTACCCAATGTCACTTTAGGCTTCGACATTTATGACAGCTATTTCAATGCCAAATGGACCTCTCATGCCACAATGTTGCTCATATCCACACTGGAAACATTTGTCCCCAACTACATCTGTGACATCAAGAAAAACTTGATAGCCGTCATTGGGGGACTGGACTCCCAAACTTCCCTTCATG